TGCTACAGAATCAATCAAGATAGAATGAAATAAATTGTCTGAATCAGCTAAAATCAGCCCCTTAACAAATTGTTCATGTATTTATTAAAAAAAAGATGTGGTATGATTGCCTATGAGACAACTCTTTACAAGAGACCAAATGATACAGAAATTAACAACTACAGGTCATTTGCCACTTTTGTAATATTATAGAATAATTGTCTACTTGAAACTTATATTTGCCCAATTGGATATAAACTTATTGTTTACTTTAATATGTGATAATTTATTTAGATTATGTTTAATGTAATTTATCAAACTATGTGTAAATGAATGAACAAATTATTAATTGATAAAAGGTGTGTATACATTGATTTAATTTACATTTGTATATACTATAAAATACTTAAGACGTGCATATTATCATACCATAAAAAGCTGACTGTAGGCAAAAGCTGTGAAAGGACCACAAATACTTTCATTCTTTAGCTGTGATACATCTGATATCTGAACACTTTTGATGTCAATTTGGATAAGTCTGTGGAAAGAAAAACAAGATTTAGATATATAGACACACAAACTCATAAAATTGATGTACAATTAAGAATCAATAATTTAGCATATGATTTTAAATGTCACATCATAATGAACATGTCATGTTATTTATGTTTTTTTTTGTTTGTTTTGGTTCTATGTATCGATCTGATAAATATTCTTTATGTGACTGTCCCAAGTCAGGAGCCTGTTATTAAGTGGTTGCTGTTTGTTGCTGAATATCATATTTGTTTTTTCTTCTTTTTTACAAAGTTATTTCATGTTTTTGTGGTGCTTATTTCATACTACTTCATGTGCTCCTTTAGAGGGTTCTCGCCTTGAAGACAGGTAGAGCAATGGAGAATTATCATAAGAATTTTAATTTTCTGGCTTTAAAATCTCCTCATAACATTTGTTTGCATTTACACAGCTTTAAGGATAAGGACCTGTCAGTAACATTTTGTGCATACATGTAGACCAAAGGGTCTTGTGGTGCTTAATTTGTGTTTGGTAGTGCTTAATTAATTTAAGATGTCCACCATTAAAGGACTATTGACTTGTTAAACAAATCATTGGGAATTGTTGACCAATGGGTCTTAGGAATCTACTTAGATCCTTAAAGAGAACATAAGACCTCTATAATCATCAATGAGGTTGTATTACCACCTGTGTTACTAAGTTCATTTTTGGTGGTGCTTTTATATAATTAATGAAGAATACCATAAGAGGTATCCAGACTTGTCAACATGACAATGGTTGCTTGTGGACCAATAGGCTTTACAAATTAACTTAAACCTTAAAACAGTGTTTTAGACCCTTATAACTGTCTGCTGGACCAAGGGGTGGAAGCTACTTCCTGTGGTGCTAAGATCGTTTTTGGTGGTGCTTATATTTTTCTTTGATGAAAGATATCATAAAAGACTCCTGGACTTGTAGATTGGACCACAGACAATGGGCCCTATAAATCAACATAGACCTCCCAAAGTTTTTTTAGACCCCTATACCTGTTTATTGGATCAAGGGGGTGGAAGCTACCTTCCATGCAGCTAATTAAGTTTTTGATGGTGCTTATATTTTTTAAATAAAATATACCATATTAAAGTGGCTCTGGACTAAATATTGGACCACAGGTGCTTGTGAACCAATGAGCCTTTTAAATCAACTTAGACCCCAAATAGTGTTTTATACTCATGAACCTGTCTGTTTGGACTAGGGGTTGGAAGCTACATGTATCTTCTGTGGTGCTAAGTTCATTTTTGGTGGTGTTAGTTATTTTTTTACTAGAATATACCATAAAAGTCCTCTGAACTTAAGATTGGACCAAAGGTACATTTGGAACAATGGGCCTTACAAACCAACATAGACCCCAAAAGAGTTTTTTAGACCTCTATACCTGTCTGTTAGGCCAAGAGGGTGGAAGCTACCTTCCAAGGAGTTAAGTTGGTGGCCCTTATATTTTTTTAATGAAATATACCCTACATGGCATCTGGACTTAAGATTAGACCACATGTGCTTGTGGATTAATAGGCCTTACAAATCAAAAAAGACCTCAAAAGCGGGCTTTACACCCCTATACCTGTCTGTTGGACCAAGGGGATGGAAGCAACCATCCGTGGTGCTAAGTTCATTTTTGGTGGTGCTTATATTTCTTTAATGAAATATACCACAACAGACCTCTGGACTAGCAGATTGCACCACATGTGCTTTTTAAATCATCTTAGACCCCAAAAGAGTGTGTTATACCTCTAAACCTGTCTAATGGACCAACGAGAGGAAAGCTACCTCCCATGGTGCTTAGTTTGTGTTTGGTGATGCTTATATTTCTTTAATGAAATATATCACAACAGACCTCTGGACTAGAAGATTGCACCACATGTGCTTTTCAAATCATCTTAGACCCATAAAGAGTGTGTTAGACCCCTAAACCTGTCTGATGGACCAACGAGAGGAAAGCTACCTCCCATGGTGCTTAGTTTGTGTTTGGTGGTGCTTATATTTTTCTTTAATGAAATATACCCTTATAGACCCCAGGACCTGTTAATTGGACCACAGGTGCCTGTGGACCAATGAGCCTTAAAAAATAACTAAGAACCCCAAAGAGTGTTTTAGACCCCTATACCCATCTGTTGGACCAAAAGGGAGGGAAGCTACCTCCTGTGGTGCTTAGTTTGTTTTTGGTGGTGCTTATATTTTTCTTTGGTGAAATATACCCTGAGACCCCTGGACTTGTGTAGATTGGACCACAGTTGCCTTTAGACCGACAGGCCTCACAAACCAACTCAGAATCCCAAAGAGTATTTTTGACCCATTACCCATACTTTGGACCATTGGGAGGGAAGTTACCTCCCTTGATGCAAAGTTTGTTTTTTGGTGGTGCTTATATTTTTATCAAATAAAATATAATATAAAAGACCCCTTGACTTGTAGAGTAGACCAAAGTTGCCTGTGGACCAATGAGCCTAACAAACCAACTTAGAACACCAAAGAGCGTTTGAGACCCTTAAACCTGTCTGTTGGACCAGTGGGAAGGAAGCTATCTCCTGTAGTGATGTTCGTTTTTTGGTGGTGCTTGCATATTCCTTGAATGAAATATAACATAAAAGACATCTTGACTTGAAGATTGGACCAAAGGTACCTTTAGATCAACGAGCTTCACAAACCAACTTAGAACCCTAAAGAGTATTTTAGACCCCTATACCAATCTGTTGGACCAAAGGGAGGGAAGCTACCTCTTGTGGTGCAAAGTTTGTTTTTGGTGGTGCTTATATTTTTATCAAATAAAATATAATATAAAAGACCCCTTGACTTGTAGAGTGGACCAAAATTGCCTGTGGACCAATGAGCCTAACAAACCAACTTAGAACACCAAAGAGTGTTCGAGACCCTTAAACCTGTCTGTTGGACCAGTGGGAAGGAAGCTATCTCCTGTAGTGATAAGTTCGTTTTTTGGTGGTGCTTGTATATTTTTAAAAAAAAATATAACATAAAAGACCCCTTGACTTGAAGATTGGACCAAAGGTACCTGTAGATCAACGAGCTTCACAAACCAACTTAGAACCCCAAAGAGTATTTTAGACCCCTATACCAATCTGTTGGACCAAAGAGAGGGAAGCTACCTCTTGTGGTGCTTATATTTTTATCAAATAAAATATAATATAAAAGACCCCTTGACTTGTAGAGTGGACCAAAGTTGCCTGTGGACCAATGAGCCTAACAAACCAACTTAGAACACCAAAGAGCGTTTGAGACCCTTAAACCTGTCTGTTGGACCAGTGGGAAGGAAGCTATCTCCCGTAGTGATAAGTTCGTTTTTTGGTGGTGCTTGCATATTCCTTGAATGAAATATAACATAAAAGACATCTTGACTTGAAGATTGGACCAAAGGTACCTGTAGATCAACGAGCTTCACAAACCAATTTAGAACCCTAAAGAGTATTTTAGACCCCTATACCAATCTGTTGGACCAAAGGGAGGGAAGCTACCTCATGTGGTGCAAAATTTGTTTTTGGTGGTGCTTATATTTTTATCAAATAAAATATAATATAAAAGACCCCTTGACTTGTAGAGTGGACCAAAGTTGCCTGTGGACCAATGAGCCTAACAAACCAACTTAGAACCCCAAAGAGTGTTTTAGACCCCTATACCCATCGGTTGGACTAATGGGAGGGAAGCTACATCGCATGGTGCTTAGTTCATTTTTGGTGGTGCTTGTTACTTTTTTTTAATGAAATATACATGTACCATAACCTCTATACTTAGGATTGGATCAAAAGTGTTTGTGGGTTAATGGGCCCTACAAATTAACATAGACCCCAAAAGAGGTTTGTAGACCCGTCTTCCTGCTTATTGGACATTATTTGGACAGCGGGGTGGAAGCTATCATCTGTGTTGGTAAGTTTTTTCTGGTGGTGCTGATATATAATTTTTTAATAAACAGATGAAATATACCATAAGTGGCCTCTGGAATGGACAACACAAGCTTGTGGACCAATGGCAATGCGTCTTAAAACTCAATTTGACCTCAAAAGCAGCTGCTCACATGTGATATAGACCCCATATACCCGTCTGATAGACATAAAGACAGAAGCTTCCTCCCCTGGTGTTTAATTCATTTTTGGTGGTGCTTTATATCTAATAAAATTTTCAATGAAAAAACATTCCGGTAGACTTTTAAATTGGACTAGATGTCCCGTTAGGGACTTTGTAATACATATTTGAACCTAAACAGTTAATTAGACAACCATACATGCCTATAAAATGTGGAGCTCAGTGTGGGCTAAACAAACCGGATGTTTTGATTTGATTGAGCATTCGCAGAAATAACTACGAGCTTTCGATCCATAATAATGAAAAAGCTAGAAATAAATCGAAAAAAAAAATGATTGGTCCCTTGTCTCAACCACTAGACAGGTTACCAGGAAAACAATAATCCAATCAAACGGTGGTGCTTATAGTGGTTTTCATCACGTTTTGATATATATATTATTACTCGCATTCCACAGCGATCTGTTTCCAGTGGTGAATATGTACACAAATTTTTGAAAAAAGTTTGCAAGCTATCACAATGAAGGTAACAACATAGACATAGACAGTTCGATGAAACTTCAATAGTTAAGCATTGAATCTTTAGCTGAAAATAAAATATTTTTGCCCAAAAAGTCGACACTCAAAGAGGTCCAAATTGCACTAAATTCTGCCAATCCAAAATTATTTATAAACCTTTTTGAGATTTTTGTGTCTTGAACGATATTTTGATTTGGCCTCTTTCACAATCCTTATCGAGCCCATTTACTATTCTATGTCTAAAATGATGTATACATATTTGTCTTTATATTATTTTCTTGTTTGTAATTGATATGCCCTTATACTTAATTGTTGATCCATTTTGTAAAAAATAATTTTCCTGGCCCATACACGGCCACATTGTTTTGTCTCTGACCTGGGACCTTCCTCTAATTTGAATACGAAAGACTAAATGAAAGAAGTGTTAAAGGACAAATCCTATTATCTGGAGAGTGCTTGTCAATGGCACAGGAAAACCAGCTAATTGAAAAAGTGACTGAAAAGTTCTGTGTGTTACAACACAGATCATTTGACAAAATCTTGAACAGTTAACAAATTACTTAATAAGTGTACATTTTATAAATTTTTTTGTGACGAAATGGATCTACATTGTATAACTAACTACCTTTAGAGGTAAATTATTTTCAAAATTTTGAAGGATTCTGAAAGGCTGATATGTCTTTTAATCAATTATTACCTGTTTCGTGTAATTGGTGCTGTAGGTGAAATAGGTGCTGGTTCAAGGTGAGGTAGTTGGCAAAAATTTTCCCGAATTGAAACTTATATGAAAGTGAATATTTTCATCGTACTTTTCTAAACAAACTACTGAACTTGATGACTTCATATTTGGCTAGTAGCTTGACAGTGATAAGGTGTAACATGTAACCCTTTTTTTGGATCTGCTGAAAAAGCCTGCATTTTTGTTGTTGATAAAAATTCAACTATTTTATACTCATGATACTTAAAAACTTCTAAATGGAATAAAACATTTTATAATAAAGAATAAATATGATTTGTATATTTAACAAGATTATTATTATTATTATTTTATTTATTCAAGATAAAAAGGCATGAATTTGACAGATACAAAATATTACAAAGACATAAATACAGCACTAGACATAGTTTATAGACACTAAAATGATATACATGTTTACTAAAAATTTTAAAATAAAAAATAAAATTATGAAAATTTTCATGATATTTTGATAATATGATTAGACTAGATTAAAAATGAGTGAAATTTAACTTGACTAGATTTTACACTGTAGCCTAATATCTTAGGATGACCCACAAAAGTTAGTAAAACTTATTTCCAGTGGGGTCCTTTTATAACGAGACTTCCAGTTTACACCAAGGGTTGACACATAGAAAATACAAGCACAAATCATTTAGAATTTATCACAGATAAATGGTCAAAACCCCAGTATAATTAATAAAAAACAAATTCACTATTAAAGATGGATTTAAATTTATCCATCAAAAATTTGTTCACCTGCACTTTAAAATTATATTTTTTAGAGCAACTTTTAATCATGTCTGGTAACGAATTCCAGTCTTTTATTCCATTATAAAAGAAAGTGGTTGATTCACACCCTTTAATTCCTGGTATATAAAAGTTTTTACTACTAGATCTTGTATTGAAAGATGTTTCATTTTTAACAAAATTAGTATGTAAATAATTTGGGCATATATTGTTAAAAATGTTAAAAACATGATTGAGTCTTAGTTGTTTGACTCTATTACTAATATTTAAAAAGCCCAATTTCTTGAATACATGTCACACTCTTTCTGGGATGTAATTGCAGAATAAATCTCACAATCTTATTTTGTGCCACTTGAAGTTTATTCTTCATTTGTTTTGATATACCTTCATACCAGCATGCACATGCATAGTCAAAATGACATTGAATCAGGGAAGAGCACAATGTTTTCCTAGATTGAAAATTTAGACACTCTTTGTTTCTATATAAAAATTTAAGCCTTTGATTGACTTTTTTCACTATAGAGTTGACAATAAAATCACCAGTTAGAAACTGATCAATTATTATTCCAAAATATTTTACAAAAGTTTTGGATTCAATATTAATACCATTACAGGAGTTAGCAAAATCACCCGGTATTAAAGACCGAAGTTTTCGACCAGGACCAAAAATTATACTCTCCGTCTTTCCCAAATGTAAGGACAATTTATTGTCAGTTAACCAATCATGGCATGATTCCAGCATTCTGGATAATTTGTGTGAGATGACCCCAGGGTCTATATGGGAAAATAAAATTGCAGTATCATCTGCATATATCAAAACTTTACAATCTGAGTCGATGCTAGTTTGAACATCATTGACATAGATCAAAAACAATAGTGGACCCAGTAAGCTACCTTGAGGGACACCACATGTAATATTACACACTTCTGAAATCACCCCATTTACACTTACAACCTGTTTTCTGTTTGTTAAATATGACTCAAACCAAGGTATAGATCTAACCCCAATTACTTCTAATTTGTCACATAATATCTTGTGATCTACTGTGTCAAATTCCTTCTGTAGGTCTAATAGGACCATGCCTGTAAAAAGACCTTTGGCTGTTTGAGCTTTAATGTGATCTATCAAGTGAATGAGACAAGAATCAGTTGAATATGAACTTCTAAATCCTGATTGAAACTCAAATAATAAATTATTTGAAATCAAAAATTTTTCAAGTTGCTTATAGGCAGCTTTTTCTAGAATTTTAGAAACAATACTTAAAATACTGATAGGCCTGTAATTTTCAGGCTTAAGTCTGTCATTTTTCTTAAATAGGGGCTTGACCTTAGCCATTTTCAGATCGTCAGGTACCGTACCCTCAGATATAGATAAATTTATCAAGAAAGTAATGGGTATTTTCAGAATTGGGGCTGCATCCTTAAGAAACCTTGCTGGAATACCATCTAGGCCCATGCTCTTACTTATATTTAAACTGCATAGTTCTTTATACACAAACTCCTCTGCTACATGCTTTAGGTTAAAAAAAATATCTGATTTCCTTCTCTGAACATAAAAGGATCTAACAATATTTGTAGTGGCACTATCAAGTGAATGAGACAAGAATTTTAAGACTTCTAAAAATCCTGAAGATTTCAAAAAGTTTAGTAAACTTAGAAATCATGTTCAACGATCATGCAAAACTGCAAAATCTGACTACTACAGCAGTGAAATTGAAGAAAATAGAAATAACCCAAAACAACTTTGGAAAAGTTTTAAAAATTTAGGATATCAAAAAGATCCTAAATCAAATCCTAATATAGTATTAAATATTGATGGGCAAAACTGTCACGATAACAAAAAAATATCAAATGGTCCGAGTACACAGTTATTTCGTAGTGCATTTCTTTTAGACAATAAATGAAAATAAAAAAAATCCCACCTGCGCTTTCTCAATAATATTTTTACAGTGTGTTGTACTACTTTTGGGACAAATTATATCAAAATTATAGAAAACTTCATCGGCTCTAACTCAAAATATGGACAATTCTATGTTAAGGGGGTCTTGAAATCTTTTGACAGCTTCCGAAGTGCTAATTTTTAACCTTTTTCAGCTGGACCAAATCACTACTTTACTTTACAATTCATGACCCAAATTTTTTTACAGTGTAATTTCATCCCCCTACTTGCTATTTGAGGCATAAAACATGAAGAAATACATTTGGAAGGGGTACTAAAAAAATTGGCAAGCAACACACTGTCCACACTAGGGACTTTATTCGTGGACAACGAAAATCAAAGGACGATAACTGTGTACTCGGACCTAATAGGATAGAAAAATCTTACCAATCTTAATAAAACTTGGTATGACCAAAGCTTAATAAATTATGAGACTGCTGACAAAGTTTCATGGCAATAGGATATATATTATAGACAATATGATAAATTCTATATTCAACTTCGCGTGTTCAATTTTGACGTTAAAATTGAAAAATTTCAACTATCAACATTTGGGGCTTTAAAAATTAAAATATTGCAAAAAATTACATTTTAAATGCCTTAATATATGACATATTATGTAATTAAAGCAATAGAATACTCATTTGATTTATCAGACTTATCACAATTATTTAAAAGTCAAATTTATATGAGCATGTGCCAAAAAATGGAGGTTTTCCAATGAAGGGGGGCCTTACATGAAGATATATTATTTTCCAGCAATTTTAAATTTGTGGAGTTTTTTGGTTATAAATAATCCTTGCATATGTATTAAATGTACTTTAAATGGAAAGAAAAATTACAAATAGCATACCATATTAGTATAAAAGGGTCTTAAGCCAAGTAAGACTGAAAATGATTTAGGGTCAATTTAGGCCGTAGCACATATTTACATTTAAAAATGCATACTGAAGCTATAGGAAATAAAAATTTGTGTCTTTTTTATAATTTCTATACTCAGGTTACATGATACAATAAATCTGAGCATAAAAGGACTCTTGCATTCAACTTTTTTTGCAGACAGTATAGTCTGATACAAAGATTTTTCACTTTTTAGTGAAAAACTTTCATGCAATTTTAGCCTCAACAGGCTTATATTTGAACCACTTGCTATTTAACATAGGAAAAGAAAGATACTATGTGAAATGAAACAGGTACAAAAGACATTGTGAAGTGCTTTTAATACAAATTTAGTGAAAACTTTATTATGGACTTCAACTTTTATGTACCAAGGTCCTCACATTTAACATGATCCAAACAGGTCTTTAGACAAGGGTCATTTATACAACACATTTTGCACATATTGTCTGAGATAATCTTATTTTCTGTAGATTCAGAGTTCACAAATGAGTAATACAACTGGGTTAAAGCATAGAAACACAAATATTGACACAGAAAAACCTGTCACATAGAAAGTCAGAATGCCACTTATGCATCAAAATTGAAAAAGCTTTGAAATGCTTATTTTGACCATATAATGCCAAAATGGGTATTTTTTGCAGAATTTCTATCAAATAAAAGTTTAAATCCTTTAGTTTCATGCTATTTGACAAATTGACACCATTAAATCATTCAGGGAAGTTGCCAAAGTACAGATTCTATATTTACTGATTTCGCCTCTTAGGTCCGAGTACACAGTTATTTCGTAGTGCATTTCTTTTAGACAATAAATGAAAATAAAAAAAATCCCACCTGCACTTTCTCAATAATATTTTTACAGTGTGTTGTACTACTTTTGGGACAAATTATATCAAAATTATAGAAAACTTCATCGGCTCTAACTCAAAATATGGACAATTCTATGTTAAGGGGGTCTTGAAATCTTTTGACAGCTTCCGAAGTGCTAATTTTAAACCTTTTTCAGCTGGACCAAATCACTACTTTACTTTACAATTCATGACCCAAATTTTTTTACAGTGTAATTTCATCCCCCTACTTGCTATTTGAGGCATAAAACATGAAGAAATACATTTGGAAGGGGTACTAAAAAAATTGGCAAGCAACACACTGTCCACACTAGGGACTTTATTCGTGGACAACGAAAATCAAAGGACGATAACTGTGTACTCGGACCAAATAATTTTAACATGTTTTTTACAACTATAGCTAGCTGCAAAACTGGTAGAAAAACTACCAACTGCAAAGGGTTTAAAAGCTCATTTAACCCTTTGCAGTTGGTAGTTTTTCTACCAGTTTTGCAGCTAGCTATAGTTGTAAAAAACATGTTAAAATTATTTGATATTTTTTTGTTATCGTGACAGTTTTGCCCATCAATATTTAATACTATATTAGGATTTGATTTAGGATCTTTTTGATATCCTAAATTTTTAAAACTTTTCCAAAGTTGTTTTGGGTTATTTCTATTTTCTTCAATTTCACTGCTGTAGTAGTCAGATTTTGCAGTTTTGCATGATCGTTGAACATGATTTCTAAGTTTACTAAACTTTTTGAAATCTTCAGGATTTTTAGAAGTCTTAAAATCAGATAAAAATTTGTCTCTCTGCTGAATATCTATTAAAATTTCAGCTGACATCCATGGTTCTGTTCTTTGTTTAATACAAACTTCTTTAAGAGGGGCAACACTGTCAAGAATATCCATAAAAATTTCTTTAAAAACTGACCAGGCCTCATTTATGTCTGAGGCACTGAAACACCTTTCCCATTTTGCTTTAGTAAGCTTAGCTATAAATTCATCTTTATTATAAGATTTCACAGATCTGACTTTAACATTACTGTGCTTATTATATACAGATTTTGCTAATTTTCTAGTACAATATACCATACAATGATCACTAAAACCAATATTTAGTACACCAGACTGAGAAATTTTCTCTGTATTATTACATAAAATATGATCTATTACAGATGCTGTAAATTCTGTTATTCTTGTTGGCTCTTTAATAATTTGACTTAAATTAAACAATTTTAAAAGCTCATTAAAAGATTTATACAGTGATCCACTCTGATCTTTAAAACATATGTTCAAATCACCAAGTAATATAATTTCATAATCCTCTCTTAGCTGAGACAAAAAATTTTCAAATTTCTCAACAAAATTACAATTTTGAGGGGGTCGATAACAAGTCCCGACAAAAATAGGTTTAGATTTTGGTAATAATAATTCAATACACAAAAATTCATCATTATTGTTTATTTCGTCCAAATTTATTGGTGTAAACACAAGATTTTCTTTAATGTACATACACACACCACCTCCACATCTGTTACGGTCTTTTCTGAGGATAGTGTATCCAGGGATGTTAGCCTCTGTATTGGTTATCGTTTCATCAAACCAGGTCTCGGTTACAGATATCACTGCTGCTTTTGTTTTAAACGCAATAGTTTGTAGCTCAGGAATTTTTGTAAGTAACGAGCGGGCATTCAGGTAAATAAAGTGCATTCCCTTCTGGAAACATTTAAAGACTTCATCAGAATGTAAATTGTCATTTTTTGGAGCTTGGGTAGAACTCACCGACTCTGGTTCACAATTGTTACCATGGTATTGATATTGGTCATCATCCTCGAAAAAAGAGTCTGAGAAATTTGGCAATTGACATTTCGAACAATACCATTCATCATCACTTTGAGATAGGATGTTGTATGATGTTACTGTGATATTCATGCATTTAATGTGGAACCATAGATCACATTGGTCACACATTATTGCTTTCTGGTTGGAACAAACAGACTTTGTACAGCTGCCGCATGGGTATTTCACTGGGCCAGGATTGGAAGCTATGTCACCACATACCAGAATGTTTATAAGAGAAAAAAGTGCTTTTCCATTTCGGGCATGGAGGCCGCCATTTTTAAATTTTCGTAGGTTGTTTTGCATCAGATAATTTTCAACTGATAAGTCATTAATTTTCAAATGTTCTATGTTCGTACTGGCATAATATCCTAGATCTTCAGCTTTAACAAGTACTTGCTCATAGTAGTGGTCTCTAGGTGGATAAAATCGAGTTAAAATACTTATAAAAAGGAGAGCAAAATTTAGCCACGCCATCTTGGCTGAACCGGAAGATGGGGTGAAGACTCATGTTTCTCATAAACAGGAAAAGGGGCAAAACAACTGACTAAGCAATATATTTTATTTTGAAATAAGGAAATGTGGTATGATAACCAATGAGACAACTATCCACCTAAATTCAATTTAAGTGGATGTAAGCAATTATAGACAACCAAACAGCTTTCAACAATGAGAGAAACTCATACCGTATAGTTGGCTATAAAAGGCCTCGAAATGAAAAATATGAAACAATTAAATTGAGAAAACTAACAGCCTATTTGATAACAAAACAATTTACGAAAAACAAATATGACAGACATGAACCAACGACAACCAGTGAACTTTAGGCTCTGGACTTGGAACAGGCACATAAAGAATGTGACAGGGTTAAACATGTTTGAAGGAGCCAACCCTCCCTTAACCTGGGACAGTGATGTAACGGCACAACACAAGAACAATCTGTGCAAAACAATTAACGAATAACAAATATGAGAAACAGCAAAAAACAACAACCACTCAATTATATGCTCCTGACTGGGACAGGCAAATATAGAATGTGGCAGTGTTAAACAAGTTTGAAGGCACCAAGCCTCCCTTAACCTGAGACAGTGGTGTAACAGTGCAACATAAGAACAAACTATAAAAATCAGTTGCTTACTGTTCGGTGTGAGCCAAGGCTCTGTGTTGAAGACCGTACTGTGACCTATAATGGTTTACTTTTATAAATTTTGACTTGGATGGAGAGTTGTCTCATTGGCACTCATACCACATCTTCTTATATCTATAACTCATCAGATTGATACAAAGCAGAAAAACATTTAACAAAAACACAGACCGTATGTACCTGGCTGCAGGGAATTTATACATCCCTCACAACAAAAATGACACAAAGTGCAGATCTGAGAGTAGTCACAGTTACTCTCAACTAGTTCAAAGCTAATAATAACCAATAAAAAAATCATTCATCTAAGAAAAAGGGGGATTTAACAATACATATGGCTCTAACATATGATTTGGTAATTTTATTGCAAATCTGATGTCTTCCTATTCAATCAACTCCAGGAATTTTATTTGTCCGGTAAATATGTACATTTTGATGACACATCGTATGGAAGGAATATCTAGAGGAATGGAATTGCCAGACTTTTTTCTGTTTGAATTAATTACAGTTTATGGCTATAACTTTATACAGAAATTGATCTGAGGAAGAAGTCTGATCAAAGTCACACTGTCAAAAGACGTGTGCAATGGAATTCGTGCAACTTATTAATAAAACTTATTATCAAATTAAAGATAAGTGCCTGATATCACAAAGGTTAAAGAGCCAGTTATCTTTCTTATAGGTCCAGTTGAAGTAGGGAAATTTAGTTTTTGTCATTTTCGTTTTAGCGTGTATTTACATTGACCAACAAAACACTTGGATCCCAGGGTAATCTGATATACAGTTGGCAGAAAACTTTAGGCAATTATTTAGCCACAGCAGGGTAAGTAATCCATTTTATGCAGATTTTTTTTTTCTTTAAAAAAACTGCAAGAGCTTAGCCAAGATCATATGAATTGCTTAAACTTTATATAAAAACTGGTACTTCTTTCAGATAGAATATTTTTGTATAGTTGGCTGCAACATAGTTTCAGTTATTCATAAAGTCCACTTAGTAATGTTATTATAATGTATTCATTCATGTATATCATGTCTCTCAGGTTTATTTTACTATCAAAGTTTATTGATTCAGAGATACACATGTACATGAGGCAACCCAGAAATAATGATTTAAGCACATTTTGTACTTGAGAAATTTTAGCAATATGAATTAAAGAAAAGGTTTCACTTCAGAAATTTAAGCAATAATATGAGAAAGCAACCCAGTGACACAAAAATCTAAATACAAAGGACTTCTAGAAGTCAACATACAGTCTATGCCTTCTTCTACATTTGTTGCATGTTTTTATTTTCTTTCAAATAATATTTCACTGAAAATATATTTTTTCTTTAGAAATGACAATGTTGTTCGTCTGTATGACAGACATGGTGAACTGAAAGAAGAAATCAACCTGCCTGGGTGAGTAAAAAAAAATAACTTTTTATAACAAATTTATCATTTATGACCTTTTTAAATGAGTAGATTGAAAAAATTAAAGAAAAATATTGAACATATTTTAGATTTTCCTGCAGAATGAATAACTTTAATGCTCATCTCTATATTATAAGGCATTGATAAATTTTTTTATTGTATTTTAACAGCCAGTGTACTGGAATGGCTTGGGATAAAGATGGTGACTCACTGGCTGTTATTAATGATAAAAATGGTGTTGTTACATTATGGGATGCCAACACTACCCGTGCCTCACAGATTGACAGTGGATTCAGGTATGGTCAGGTTTAGGAAGTTCAGATCTACAATTATAAAGTTTAAGATATATTCTGTGTGACCAACTTTTATCCCTGTGTCTTCTTAATTTTTTAGTAAACAACACTCATACAATCATCTTTGTATATAAGTGAATTGAATAAAATAATGTATAATTCTTTTTAATATAAAAATAAGGAGATGTGGTATGATTTCAAATGAGACAGCTATCCACCAAAGTCCAAACAATGTGCATGTAAGAAACTACAGGCCACTGTATAGCCTTTAACAATGAGAAAACCCAATACTGAATAGTAAGTGATAAAAGGCCTTATTTTATAGTACTACTATACTCTACCAACAAGGTGATTCAGTTCAATTTACCTTTCCTGGTAATGAGTTTAAACTGTTTTCCACTGAAATTAGGGATTGTATGTTTAAACACACTGATTTGCCACCCTGTACATTGCATATGTGGAATATATCAGATTGAATAACCCATAATCACCACCATTCACTCTGAAAATTCAACACTAAGAGGGACTATGTCACTCACCTTGTAATAATTATACAAAACTCCTGAAATTTCAGGTATTTTTTTTTTTAATTTCCATGTAATATATTTACAATCTTTCAGATACTAAGTTGTCTTCAAACCAAAATGCACTTCATTTCTTTATTTCAGAGATACTATGACATTTCTGTTATGGGCCAAAGCAGGACCATACCTAGCTGTTGGTACAGCCAAAGGAAACTTACTCATTTATAACCATCAAACATCCAGGTAATTTTATGTGTAAAAATGTAATTTTTTATTTTTTTTATAATTATTGATAATATTTAGTCTGAATTTACAAAGTTTTCTGAAATCATTATTTGTTTTATATAAAAACAAGATGTGGTTTGATGACACAATTATCCATTAAAGGGAAAATTCGCGATTTTTTACTTATCATCTTATTATGTTCATAATACCATTAAAAACATATTCACCAAGTTTTATCTGGATATGAAAACTAATAAAGAAGAAAATTGGGAATTATTAATTCTATTTATTCAAACTTCCTGACTTATGTGACGTAGTTTAAGTCTTTTTGCATGCCGGGAGTGGATTAATCTCATTTAAAGTCTTGTTCGTTAATCATCTAATAACGCGATTTAAAGCGCATCAACGACTTTTGGTGTAGCTATTAACCAACTAACAATTCAGAAAGAAAAGTGATTAGCCGTGCATTTTTTTTAAATTAAAATTTACGATTTATATTTTTAGGGTTTCTGATATGATTATAGTAATAAAAGCAAATCATACAATAGAATTTTTTTATGATTTTTTTTTCGACGGATATTTTGAACAACATATATAACTGATAGTATAATAGAAATTCACGTTTGTATTCTCCCCTATTACTTCAGTCGAGGATTTGTCTTACTATACAAATCCTTGCATCAGTCTAGTACTGTGTAAATACAATGCATGTGTATTATGCTGACACCACCTGGTAAAGGCGTGGTTAAATTCACGGTAATTAAAAGATTAGCATTATGTAATTTTAATCCTTTGATCTTCACTAGAGTGGTGTTTGTCCTCAAGGGTTCACCGTTGCAGGTATGAGACAGATTTTTTTTAAGGGAGGAATATGGTGGCAAAATACCTTAATCGCCGTTATATATATATTTTTTTAACATTTTGCATTTGCTCAGTTTTTAAATAAATAGGTGAGTATTTTGTTGTAACATCGAAATTCTGAATAACTTTTAATAAAATAATTATATAAATATTATAAATGGCACACGAAAACGAGCGTATATATCAAAACAGTACTATTTTAAATTATCATCGGTAACCTTGAATATTTAAATGTGCAGAGAAAATTATCAGTTACAAAAATATAGTTTTGACGTCCAAAGCGATCTTCATTTACCTAATCAGGAAAGCCCTTATTAGAATATTATAAATCTCACAACGTATTTATATAATTCTTAAGCTATTTGACCAACGATGTTTAAAAAAAATAACAGAATCAATCTAACGTCAACTTTCCTTTTTTAAATGGAGACAGAACGTCGAAATCAATTTTCAATGTGCTTGATATCTTGTACCTTTGTAAGACTTATCATTCATTCAAAAACCCACTCTAAACCAGAGACATATATACGTCTGTTTAAACTGACAAGAAAACTCCTAAAGCGGACAAGCAGTATATTCTGTAAATTTCTGAGAATTTATACAAAGAAATAAAAAAAATCCCGAAATGAATTTGATCCTGGAAAATATTCACATCCTCATTCGGTCTGAAAAAAAGATACGAATTTGGTATACAGAACATGCAGAAGTGTGAATGTTATAAAACCTAATTGTTATATCAGAAACCATTATAAATATGAACATGTATACGTAAGACCTCATGGGACGTCACCTAACCACATTCAGGTAATATACAAGTAGCTCTGTTATACCCGGAAATGTCAAGGTTTATCATAGATAGATAGACATGACCTCAGACCCCCCCCCCCAAATCGAGGAACAGTATATCTTACAATGTGTATATTCCTGCAAAAATAAAAATAAAATGAGAAAAAATAAAGAGATGAACGGTAAGTCACATCAGATTCAGATATTTATATAGTTGCTTGTCGTTAAATAGAGATCTAGTGTATACATGTCTCTGCGTTAACTTATAAAAATAACAGGAAATAATAAATTTGAAATAGATTTATGATGAATACTTTGCAACTGCGACACCCCTTTTTATCACAGCGTACATGCATGCATTTAAATGACTGTCCGTTATGCCATTTAGAATGACAATCGTACGTACAATCCTATAGTTCATGGTGAGTCCTTTTCTATCAGATATGCGACTTTTCGTATTTATATTTTCTCTTATATTACCGGTACTGTCATTTAATATCTAATGCATAAGTGCAATATTAAGAGTGGTTAAATCCCCTACAAGCTAACTAAATAAATAAATCAACCCTCTAGCTGACCAGACGTTAATACAACTACCATCAGTCTATCCGGAGTGAAGTTTCTTTATTTCTTCAAATAGGCTTTTGGGGAGCATTAGTGCACGTCCAGTGGCATATATATATAACATGCATGTCGGACCAGGAAAATGTGATGATGACGAATTTCTTAAACTGTTCGAAATAATCTTATTGAAATATAAATCTGTGATTTTACTATGTCTATAGCTTCGATGAACCAAAGCAAGTTAGATATCGACCTGTATTTAAATCAGATTGGTTCTGGATGTTTCTCTCGTATATTCAATATACTTGTATGATATTAGTTCTATATTGCGACTATCCATAGTTCCGTATTAAAACTTCCATCTAGGCGTATAAACCAATGATCGACAAGTGCCGCACATTATGTTAAATCAATATTTGTATGTTTCAAAATGTCCATAATTATTGACAACGGGTATATACTTACATTTTCCCCAATTTACCCTTGGAAAATGTGTAAATAGATTTTTATTTCATCAATTTTTTTTTTTTTTTTATTATTTAAACTTTCATTAATATCATTCTTTACACCAAAAATGTTATTTATAAACAAGCGTATGAGTTTAGCAATGACTAGTATATCACTATCGGATACGCTATACAAAGTTGTATATTACACCTGATAGATTCAAAATGGAAGTTACATGTTATCGGCCGTGTACACTGATCAATACCCCCAGAAAAGAAATGATGCACGAACTTGTTTTATGTAATTGTGTAATAACAGTTTTAAAGCCCGACAGGAAATCGCTTGAATACATGTACGTGTCACCTCACAATACCTCTGGGAACAATTCCTTTAGCCATTCTGGTGATCAGATAAGGGAAGGTCCGAATTTATTTTAAAAAGTTTAATACATAAAACAATTATGAACAAACTAGATTTTCAAAAACAATTTTACACGGAACACTTATTTATAACTTTGACTTTTTAACTAATTTCAATTTATTGTTTTAAATACTTCGTAAACAAAACAGTTTCAAAACGACAGACCATACTATTAGTACTAGTTATTTAAAAAATAATATATATAAAATTACATTTTCTGTATCAAGTTAGTTAGGAAAGGTTGCACAACCATGTCTATCATAATCTTTTTTTGTGACCCGGGAAACTGCTTTCCTTGTCGGATAAAACAACCGTACGCTTGACAAGATATCGACACTCAATTACGGCTACGTAAGGTTACTGCTTGTTTTGGTCCTTTGTGGTTTATAGATATATCGTGGTCAATATTCGGGGAGGATGTCAAAATGGCCGCATGCGGAGAATTGATACTCTAAATTTAAAATCGATGGTGATCTCTTAACTTGCAGAATAAAACTTTAATATCTATGAATTTGTGCTTTTTTATACATAATGAACAGAATATGAATTTTTCATTTTTTTGCGAAGTTTCCCTTTAAGACCAAAGGACAAAGATTTGAACAATGACAGATCACTGTACAGCCTTCAACAATGAGAAAAACATTTAACATAATTATTTTAAGCTATAAAAGGCTCCAAGATGACAAAACATGAAACAATTCAAAAGAGAAACCAACAGTCTGATTGATCTATACTACAATAATAAATGAAAAACAATTTTTTTTTTTTTTTTTTTTTTATTTCTTGAAATCCACTTCTTCTTAATACAGCTATTGATATTTACTTTTTTGAACATATGACTTTTTTTAGGAAGGTACCCATTCTAGGTAAACATACTAGAAGGATTACATGTGGAGCATGGAGTAATGAGAACCTACTATGCCTAGGTAGTGATGATAATTCTGTAACTGTCAGTAATGTAGAGGGCGACACTGTCAGACAAACATCACTACGGGCACCACCACAGGATGTACAGTTTTCTGAAATGAAAGGAGATGAAAGAAGTCAAATTGGAGAAAATACTGTAAGTTTGTATGGAGCAGGATCTGCTTACCCTTCTGGTCATCTGAGATCACCCCCTGGTGGAGCAGGATCTGCTTACCCTTCTGGTCATCTGAGATCACCCCCTGGTGGAGCAGGATCTGCTTACCCTTCTGGTCTTCTGAGATAACCCCCTGGTGGAGCAGAATCTGCTTACTCTTCTGGTCATCTGAGATCACCCCCTGGTGGAGCAGGATCTGCTTACCCTTCTGGTCATCTGAGATCACCCCCTGGTGGAGCAGGATCTGCTTACCCTTTTGGTCATCTGAGATCACCCCCTGGTGGAGCAGGATCTGCTTACCCTTCTGGTCATCTGAGATCACCTCCTGGTTTTTGGTGAGGTTGGTGTTACTCAGTCTTTAGTTTTTTACGTTGTGTTTTGTATAATGTTTGTTGTTTTTCAGTTTTTGCTATGGCATTGTCAGTTTGTTTTCAACTAATGAGTTTGTTAATCCCTTTTCTATCTTTCACCTCTCTTGTACGACTAATTATTTAATGATATGATCAAATAGCCCTTACACAGTTTAATTGGCATGTGCAAGACTGATGATGTTGCTTTGCCAATATTAATATATAAACACAGCTTTTTCACCCATGGACTTTTACAGGAAAAACCTAATACAGGATATGTCATCTCAGGTTGTAAATGTTGGATGTCTCCGGAGTCCCTAAATCTTGCAATATTTTGATGCATATGTTACATTTTATTATATTTTGATTCCTAGAATGACCTGAAAAATTTCAAATTTTGTTCTGTGTTTTGTGACATTTTGTCACAGGAAAATACCACAGCCTTTCTGTTTGACCATTTTGTAGATCAAAATCTGAAGAAAGCAGACTTAAAGAATAAGAAAAGTTATATTTTGGGTTATTTTTTCTAGGTTCTCTATCTTGGCCAGATAAAATGAATTTCATAAGCCTACAAATAAGTGAATCTAATCAATATTGTCAGAAAAAAATACACTGTGACTAAGAAAAAAAGTTCATATATGATTTCCTGAGCACTTTAGATAGGCTAAGTACCTTCATGTTAATTCTTTTTAGTGTTGTTGAAATATTTATTGGATCATTAAATGTAATGGCATTTAAGTCAGATTTTGTGGTAATGTATTTGTAATGATAAGTGAAAAAATGTAAATATATGGCTAAAGAAGCCATGATTATTAAACTAACTCTCAGATATATTTGTAAAATTAAAATAAAAATCCTTATATTTGCCTCAAAAATCACCATTGCAATGTTCAATATAAAAAAAAATGTGTATGTACTAAAAAGCCATCAAGCTTCTCCAAAATATAGGCACATCAATAGATGATCAAAGCACATGTAAAAACATTGTTAGTTATAGATTCTGAATATTGTAGATGATCAAAGCACATGTAAAAACATTGTTAGTTATAGATTCTGAATATTGTAGGTGATCAAAGCACATGTAAAAACATTGTTAGTTATAGATTCTGAATATTGTAGGTGATCAAAGCACATGTAAAAACATTGTTAGTTATAGTATCTGATTATTGTAGGTGAGTGTAGTAATAGGAAAGAAGACTTTGTTCCTGTATAACTTAAACGATCCAGATAATCCAATAGAATTGGCCTTTCAACCAAGATATGGAACCATTGTTTCTTATAGATGGTGAGTATTTTAAAATTCACGAAAAAAATACAAATTTTAACAGAAGTTTACAGATTTTTATTCAATTAATGTTTCGTGTCTGAACAAAATTTTTGAAAAATTGAGAAACTGAAAATAAATCAAAGTTTCTCATCATAATTTAATTTTTTTATTACACACCAGGAAAATTCATTTATATTCGTGGACTGAGGAAAAGTGGTATCCCACGAATAATGATGAAGCCACATTAGATAAGATAAAGAGTATTAAAATGAAACACATGGAGTTTTCACCTCATATTGTAAAGGTTACTTTCAGGTATGGGGATGGTTACATCATGATAGGATTTTCCAATGGTTTCTTTGTTGTGATATCTACACACATGAAGGAAATTGGACAGGTAAGTTTGGTTGTCATGGTAACAGCATAATGTAATTCTCCAATTGATTCTTTCTTTTTGATTTTAGATTTGAAATCTAAAATTAAAATATTATTGACACCGTAATATGATTTTAAAACTTTGAACTTCATTTGTTATATTTGCTTTTATTTCTGAAATAGACTGGTTATCATGGTTGTATCATGAAATTTTTTTCATAGAAACTGAGTTTCGGTGCCCTCTCATTTAAATGAAATTGTACAAATAAGTTTATTGTGTTGGTTACATTTCAAAGTTTATAGTGATATATCCTCGCATAGATAAAAGTTAAACTATCTGTTGTATCATACATTTTATTATTTTTATGATTGCTTTGTTTATTGCCACTTTCTATATATTTGAACACCTTGCACAATATTGCAAGTTTTTTTTTGTAAACAAGGTAAACAAGTCATTAATGACTGCAGTAATAATAATGGATGGACTGTAATGATCTATATAGATAATGTTAACCAACTACCTTGTCCACTTGGATCACTTGTTTACTGAGGCCAAAAATATTTTATGACAGCTTTGGTTAGAAATATGTTTGTAAATGACATATCACATTGTTTTATCAGGGAAATTATGCCTAATTAAAGAGATAGAACCATTATAGAAAGAATATTTCAAGAAAAATCCCTTGTAACTCATGTACAATTCAGTATAACTTACAATCAAGTTTAGATTGTAGATTGGTCATAATAGAATTACTGTTATTTAAAGAGTTACAAAAAAAAAGGATGTGTACCTTTTCACTTTTGAATCAGTTTATTTACTAAACACTAGTAGTAAACAGCTTTTATATATTTATCAATAGGAACTTTTTCAAGCCAGGAATCACAAGGACAATTTGACATGTATTGGAATATCAACATCACTAAATAAGGCAGCTTCTTGTGGGGATAATTGGTAGGTTTAAATTTTTTGAAGCACAACATTATTTTTGTGAATCTTGATACCCTTATATTTAAAAAAACTGAACCAGCCATACATTGTATGTATTTTAATGCATAAATTTCAAATCAGCTTTTATGATATTCCCATGCAGACATCAGTTTTATATTTGTATGATAAAAGGGAGGCGAAAGATACCAAAGGGATATTCAAACTCAAATGTTGATACCAACTGACAATGCCATGGTAAAAAAACCAAAAGACAAACAAGAGTATACAAAACACAACATAGAAATCTAAAAACTGAGCTATGCGAACCCCACCCAAAAATTGGGGTGATAACAATCCAATAAAATTTTAGCAGAAAGTTGAACTCTGATATATAAATGGTTTTTAAAGGCAGTGCTTTAATGCCTTTCTAGTTGCCGGGTTAATCCTTCCTTCCGCGATATCCAACTTATCTACGTGGGGGGTCGTTAGGTTCCAAGTAGATCCGGAAATGTTGAATTCTCTCCTCTTCTTATTGTGATATAAAATGTTTTTTGTTTCATTTCATTTACATTGGGAAATAGAGAAACGATCATTGTGTTTTGTTAGTTTTAAAAACTTTTGATATATTTGTATTTTGCATTATAAGCAGTCAACCGATTGACAAACTAGAATTATTTGAATTCCGTGTGGAAAGAGCTCGGGTTAATTTCGAGTGTTATCTGCAATCTATATGTTTATAAATCATTTCAGTCGTTGATATAATAATTAAAGGTCGACTGAACATGAATTATATTATACAATTTAAAGCGCATTTCTGTTTATGCACGTGAACCCGTCTAACGTTATAGTTTTTTCGCAGTTATATAAAGTAGCAAATTATCGTTCCTGAATAGGTGGCGCCGTGGTAGCCGATCCTGTTCCTCAACTTCCGGTTTCTGCACTGTGCAACTATTTCAGTTACATTTTTCATTAACGATGCCAAGTACTTGTTGTTGTGTACCTGGATGTCATTTAAGAGGAGGACATGCATTTCCAAATGACTTAAAAAGAAGGAAAAGTTGGATCAACGCCATGGCCCATACGCAGGTTGGACGAGAACACGATGAAATCGTGGAGTCCATCTCAATCAGCTGTTGTTTGCAAGGCACATTTTACTGAAAAAGACTACGTGCAGGAAACTATTCATGGTAAAACTCTATTTTCTTTTTGAAATATATAGTTATATATGTAATCGCCATGCGAATAAACCAAAGTCTGTTTACAACCGCAATTATCGTTTTAGAATAAAAGGGGTGGTTAATTCAAGACGTCATAATTTTTTGGATTACGATTCAATGTGATCTGTTTGAGATTTTTTGGTGATTGCTACAATTATAATGATTTCTTACAAGAGGTATATCATACTGAGATTTATTTTAGCAGTAATTATGCTAATGTAGTAATGACAGGAATGCATAAGCTATGCCTCATAGACTTTCTTGAAAAATATCAATGACAATGTTAACAGGAACAAATCAATGACATGCTCTCATCTATATTATAGTTATTTAGGTACAAACAATGTACGTTTGTTGCATAAGTCTCTCATTGTTTGTCCTTTGGATTTACATAACATACATTGAATCAGGCAAACATAGTTTTATCCAGATTGTAATGAATAAATCTAGTTAATATTTCGCCAGGTAATACAAAGTATACATTGCTAATGGAAGTTCATTTAATTATCAAAAAACTAATGTTTTATAACCTTTTTCAGGGCGCAAACCCACCATTCAGAGACTTAAGTCTACTGCCATTCCCAGCCTATTTTCCTGGACCAAGCAAGAGACTGAATCATCCGCAAAAAGAAAAATCAGGGCAGTTTCCTGTGAAAACAAAAGAACTAAACTTGATGAATATTGTAGTAGAAATCTAGAGGAAAGTTTTGATTGTAAAGTTGGTTTTCCTGAAGAAGTCATTCATACTGCAGAAAGGATTTATGACTGTCCACCACCAACTGCCGAGCTAATGTTGAGCTTCACAGATGGAATTATGCAAACACCATCAATGCCTATGTTTTCAGCAGAGAATTTTGAAATGAAGACACGTGACACAGCCATGCATTTTTATACCGGTTTAGAGTTGTATACTAAATTTTTATTTGTTTTGACCACACTTGGTCCAGCAGCACATTGTTTGAGATACATATATTTTCAAATTGATAGGGTGTCAGTTGAAAATCAGTTTTTTTATGACTTTGATGAAATTGAGGCATTATACAACCAACTTTGAACTTTCTAGATTCTAGATTGAATCTAGTGTTAAGAATATTGTGTATACATGGATTGTTTTTATGTCTAAACAGTGGTGTGAGGCTAACACTTGGCCATCTAGTGGTTTAGTCAGGTATTTTTCACCATCCAACTTCAAATTAAAGATTCCTACGACTTGGATTATTATTGACAGCACAGAATATCCCGTGATGAAACCTAAAGCTCCTAGAGCTCAGGCAACCTTTTCATCATATAAAAACAGAAACACTGAAAATACTTGTATGTTCGACACCTGGTGGTTTAGTCAACTATGTCTCTAATGCATATGTTGGTTCTACCAGTGACTATGAAATAGTTGAAAGCTGTAGAATAGTTCAATTATGTGATCCAGGTGACAGTGTGATGGCAGACAAAGGTTTAAATGCAAGATTTGTTTGCTAACTTTTTTCAAAAATAGAAACAGAATTAGTTCCAAAACTCTTATACGGGATAGAAAAGTCTCCAATTAACATGTGCACATAGAGCAAATTATTGGACTTGGCAAAACATACAAAATTCTATTAAATCCTATGAATGGAACTGAAACAAAACTTTCATCTGAAATAACATTTAGTTGTACTAGTCTATGTTGTGTAATTTTAGAACTTGTATTGTGCCAAAGGATGCATAAATAAAAGTGACGCAATGAATTTTGTTCTGATATATATATATTTATAATTACATGCACATGTAAATTGTAATGCATATACAAATAAGGAGATGTGGTATGATATTCAGTGAGTTTATCGAACTAAAGTGCATAAGAAATGGGTTTAAGCAGTTACAGGTGTTACTGTCACCGTACAATCTCCAACAATGAGAAAAACTTGTACCGTGTAAACCATTTCAGAGATCTTACCACTAAGTTTTGTTGTTTCACCTTGACTTTGGTGAATTGTTTATATCTGTTGATGTAAATATAAAAAAGAAGATGTGGTATGATTGCCAATGAGACAACTCTCCACAAGAGACCAAATGACACAGAAATTAACAGCTATAGGTCACAGTACGGCCTTCAACAATGAACAAAGCCCATACCGCACAGTCAGAGCTCTATAAAAGGCCCCGAAATGACAATGTAAAACAATTTAAACAAGAAAACTAACGGCCTAATTTATGTACAAAAAATGAACGAATATAACAAATATGCAACACATAAACAAACAACAACCACTGAATTACAGGCTCCTGACTTGGGACAGGCACATACATGTACAAACAGAATGTGTCGGGGTTAAACATGATAGCGGGATCCCAACCCTCCCCCTAACCTGGGACAGTGGTGTAACAGTACAATATAAGAACGAACTATAAAAATCAGTTGAAAGAGGCTTAACTCATCAGATGGATAAATACAAATACAAGTGGACGTGGTCGGGTAGTTGTACATCCAAACAACAAAAAGACACTAAGTACAGATCTGAGAGTACTCAAAGTTACTGATGGCTAGTTCAAAGCCACTAACAACTGATAAAAAAATCTTGCATCTAAGACTAAATTATCAATCCGTAAGCTCTCTTTAGAATTTTATAAATTTTAGATTTTACATTTCTGAGTTATGGGGTTTTATTCATTAAAAAAGGGGGGATTTTCCAGTTTTTGTCGAGCCTGCGACTTTTGTCGCAGAAAGCTCGACGTAGGGATAGTGATGTGGCGGCGGCGTTAGCTAACTTCTTAAAAGCTTTATATTTTAGAAGGTGGAAGACCTGGATGCTTCATACTTTGTATATGGATGCCTCATGTTACGAAGTTTCCGTCAGCCACATGTCCAATGTCCTTGACCTCATTTTCATGGTTCAGTGACTACTTGAAAAAAAAAGTTAACATTTTTTGTAATGTTAAATTCTCTCTTATTATAAGTAGTAGGATAACTATATTTGGTATGTGTGTACCTTGCAAGGTCCTTATGCCCGTCAGACAGTTTTCACTTGACTTCGACCACATTTCATGGATCAGTGAACAAGGTTAAGTTTTGGTGGTCAAGTCCATATCTCAGATACTATAAGCAATAGGTCAAGTATATTCGGTGTATGGAAGGACTGTAAGGCGTACATGTCCAACTGGCAGGTGTCATCTGACCTTGACTTCATTTTCATGGTTCAGTGGTTATAGTTAAGTTTTTGTGTTTTGGTCTGTTTTTCTTATACTGTATGCAATAGGTCTACTATATTTGGTGTATGGAATGATTGTAAGGTGTACATGTCTAGCTGGCAGGTCTCATTTGACCTTGACCTCATTTTCATGGTTCAGTGGTCAAAGTTAAGATTTTGAGTTTTGGTCTTTTTTTCTAATACTATATGCAATAGGTCAACTATATTTGGTGTATGGAAATATTTTATGATCTATATGTCAGTCGCGCAGGTTTTATTTGACCTTGACTTCATTTTCACAGTTCATTGCTCAGTGTTAAGTTTTTGTGTTTTGGTCTGTTTTTCTTAAACTATAAGCAATAGGTCAACTATATTTGTTGTATGGAAGAATTGTTAGCTGTACATGCCTGCCTGGCATGGTTCATCTGACCTTGACCTCATTTTCATGGTTCATTGGTCAATGTTTAGTTTTCTTGGTTAATGTTAAGTTTATGTGACAGTTGTAATAAAGCTTTATATTAAGGACTATCAACATAATATCAGTGATTAGTAAAGAAGGCGAGACATTTCAGCGTGTGCACTCTTGTTGGACAACAACTCAAAAATGCTTTAAGCAGTTCGCATGAAACTTTGGTGAACTATTTATAGCTATTGATGTAATCTCCCTATAGATTTTCATAAATTTCAAATATGACATTGAGAAGAAATTGAACTTTATTTGTTTATAGTCTGGCAACAGATTTATTAAGTATTGCGCAACAGCACAGTGTATTGTACAACAGCAAGAAATCTTTAATTGAATATAAATTCAATTCATATAACCGATTTCAAGTTCTTTGACTACATTTATTCCGAAACTATAATATGTCAAATATTTAATTACAATCCAAATTCAGACCTGTATCAAGCTTGAATATTGTGTCCATTTTTGCCCCAACTGTTCAGGGTTGGACCTCTGCGGGTGTATCCAGCTGCGCTCAGCGAATCAGTTTATTTCTTAATTAAGAACTCCTTTTTTCATTCATAAATTACTTTAAACTTGGAAATATAATTTTGCTTGGAGTTATAGTTTCTTAAAAAAGTATTGTCATTGAAAGAGTTGACATGTTGCAATGTACATTTATTCTACATAGTCCTATGGTACCAAATCAAAAGTTTATATAAAAGAAAGAAGTCAAAGGTTTCCCATCATAGTTAAGTTACATACATTTTTTTTGTACCTGAGGTCGTTGAATATAGATCATTATATAAATAAGGAGATGTGTTATGATTGCCAATGAAACAACTATCATCCATACTTAACAGTAACAAACCACATTTGCAGAGTTGAATAAAATACAGTTGATAACATTTACTTATTACTAAAAAGAAAATGCCTAACTATTTTAAACAGTATTTAAAAATCAATTATATGGTCATTTTTATAAACTTCCTGTTACAAAACTTTGAATTTTTCGAAAAACTAAGGATTTTCTTATCCAAGGAATAGATTACCTTAGCCGTATTTGGCACAACTTTTTGGAATTTTGGGTCCTCAATGCTTTTCAACTTTGTACTTGTTTGGCTTTATAACTATTTTGATCTGAGCGTCACTGATGAGTCTTATGTAGATGAAACGCGCGTCTGGCGTATTAAATTATAATCCTGGTACCTTTGATAACTAATTTGACTATAAACATAGATAAAAAAGGTACAAACTGGACATAATGCACTAGTTCATAAACAAGTGAGAACAATCACCTTCATATAGTGCTCAGCATATGACATTCATATAACTTGTTCAATATCATTAGAGAACTCTAAATCTTAAATACTGAAAGCCACCTCTGATAAGTACACTGTACTATGCAAGATAATGATATAACTGGACTAAAAATACACACAACCTGTAATTAACTGCCTTTACAGCGCTATCACGCTTTGATTGAATGCTGTTACAACTTAAGTTATAAAATCAAACATCTTTCATAAGATTGTAATATGTTACAGTTCTTTATTACTTGAAAATTAATTAGTGAAATACTGATTTAGTTCAAAAAATTTTATACAGTGTGAAGATTCATGATTTGTCTGATTTAAAAGAAATGTTTGCCATCATCCAACTTGATGATGAACGTGGATTGGACAAAATAGGTTGGACAGATGACGGACAACTCTTAGCCGTCTCATCAAACCGTGGAAATTTACATGTGTATCTAACAAAACTTCCCATGTTGGCCTCTTGTAACCAGACAAGGATTGCTCATCTGACGTCACTGTTAGAAGTTACAGTAGAAGATAATATCCAACAGGATCAGCCAGCTGCCATACCAATAGATGTAGAACCATCGTTTGTAGGACTTGGACCTTATCACTTGGCTGTTGGCATGAATAACAGAGCATGGTTTTATTTGATGGGAGATGCTGGTAAAAATTAACTGTCAATTTATGTTTACCTATTTTATCAAATAGAACTTATGTTCTTTTGTTTACCTTTAAGGTACAATGTATTTTTAAAACTCATAAAAAATTCTTTGGAAACATATTGCTAAAGTCACAGGCAAGATTTAGCTGTCATATTTATATTGTTTTTATACGACCGCAAAAAAATTTTGTGGTCGTATATTGGTATGACGTTGGCGTCGTCGTCGTCATCCGGCGTCGTCGTCGTCCGAATACATATTGGTTTTCGCACTCTAACTTTAGTTTAAGTGAATGGATCTTTTTGAAATTTGACCATAAGGTTAAATACCACAAAAGGAAGGTTGGGATTGATTTTGGGGGTTATGGTACCAACAGTTAAGGAATTAGGGGCCAAAAAGGGGCAAAAAATGAGCATTTTCTAGTTTCCAGACAATAACTGTGGAACGGTGTATGGATCTCTCTGAAATTATACTACAAGTTTCCATACCACAAAGGGATGGTTAGGATTTGCTTTGGGGGGTTATGGCTCAAACCGTTTAGGAATTAGGGGCAAAAAAGGGGGAAAAACAAGATTGTCCTGGTTAATGGACAAATACTTTAGTACAAAACATAATTTAAAGCAGTGTAAGGGAGATAAATCAAATACATCATTGAAATTATCTCCCTTACACTGCTTTTAAATTATGTATAAAGTAATGGTTAATGAACAATAAAGATAATCTAAAACAGTGTAAGGGAGGTAATCCAAATACAACGTTTTGGTTACTTCCCTTACTCTGCTTTTAAATTATGTTTAAAGAAATGCATATTTATAAAGGAAGACCAGTAAAAATATCTGCAAATGTTTTCATCTTTTTTTTTTACAAAAAAATCCATATGAAAGATTTGACACTATATTTTTATTAATTCTATTATAAAATAGATTAAGTTAGCACTATGGTAAATTTAAATGGGTAATTATGGTTGCCAACTCCATTGGAAATTTGAATTGAGATTATGACCATATCTTGAGGGAAAGAATTTTTTGGGGGGAAAAAGGGGGGGGGGATAAAAAGAAATTGTGGGGGGCCAATTTTTTCTCATTTCAGATTTCAGAAATTAAAAAGAATTATTCTTCAAATATTATTTTTTTTTCAAATTTCAAATATTGAAAAATTTCAAGAAGTAATCTTTAATTGCACAGTATGGCGCATTAGATTTGTAAAATCTTTGATCACATTTATTTATTTGTTATGCCGAATCTAACAGTGTATTTAGATTTTTAATTTTGGGTCCAGTTTTCAAATTGGTCTACATTAATGTCCAAAGGGTCCAAAATTAAACTTTGTTTGATTTTAGCAAAAATTGAATATATGAGGTTCTTTGATATGCTGAATCTAAACATGTATTTAGATTTTTGATTTTTGGCCCAGTTTTCAAGTTGGTCCAAATTGGGGTCCAAAATTAAACTTTGTTTGATTTCAACAAAAATTGAATATATGGGGTTCTTTGATATGCTGAATCTAACCATGTATTTAGATTTTTTATTTGTGGACCCCGTTATCTAATTGGTTCATATTGAGGTCAAAAGGGTCCAAAATTAAACTTTGTTTGATTTCATCTAAAATTGAATTATTGGGGTTCTTTGATATTCCAAATCTAACCGTGTATTTAGGTTCTTAATTTTGGGTCCTGTTTTTTAAATTGGTCTACATTGAGGTCCAAAGGGTCCAAAATTAAACTTAGTTTGATTTTAACAAAAATTGAATTCTTGGGGTTCTTTGATTGGCTGAATCTAAACATGTGTTTAGATTTTTGATTATGGGCCCAGTTTTCAAGTTGGTCCAAGATAGGGTCCAGTATTTAAACTTTGTTTGATTTCAACAAAAATTGAATTCTTAGGGTTCTTTGATATGCTGAATCTAAACATGTATTTAGATTTTTGATTATGGGCCCAGTTTTCAAGTTGGTCCAAATTGGGGTCCAAAATTAAACTTTGTATGATTTCAACAAAAATTGAATATATGATGTTCTTTGATATGCTGAATCTAACCATGTATTTAGATTTTTTATTTGTAGGCCCCACTATCAAATTGGTTCATATTGAGGTCAAAAGGGTCCAAAATTAAACTTTGTTTGATTTCATCGAAAATTGAATTATTGGGGTTCTTTGATATGCCAAATCTAACCGTGTTTTTAGATTTTTAATTTGGGTCCCGTTTTTTAAATTGGTCTTCATTGAGGTCCAAAGGGTCCAAAATTAAACTTAGTTTGATTTTAACAAAAATTGAATTCTTGGGGTTCTTTGATATGCTGAATCTAAACATGTATTTAGATTTTTGATTATGGGCCCAGTTTTCAAGTTGGTCCAAGTTGGGGTCCAAAATTAAACTTTTTTTGATTTCAACAAAAATTGAATATATGGGGTTCTTTGATATGCTGAATCTAACCATGAATTTAGAATTTTTATTTGTGGGCCCCGCTATCAAATTGGTTCATATTGAGGTCAAAAGGGTCCAAAATTAAACTTTGTTTGATTTCATCAAAAATTGAATTATTGGGGTTCTTTGATATTCCAAATCTAACCGTGTATTTAGATTTTTAATTTTAAGTCCCATTTTTTAAATTGGTCTACATTAAGGTCCAAAGGGTCCAAAATTAAACTTAGTTTGATTTTAGCAAAAATTGAATTCTTGGGGTTCTTTGATATGCTGAATCTAAACATGTGTTTAGATTTTTGATTATGGGCCCAGTTTTCAAGTTTGTCCAAGTTGGGGTCCAAAATTAAACTTTGTTTGATTTTAACAAAAATTGAATATATGGTGTTCTTTGATATGCTGAATCTAACCATGTATTTTGATTTTGGACATTGGACCATAATAGGTAAATTAAAAAAATTCAAGTTCTTAGACCACATTCTTTCTGTGTCAGAAACCTATGCTGTGTCAAATATTTAATAACAATCCAAATTCAGAGCTGTATCAAGCTTGAATGTTGTGTCCATACTTGCCCCAACTGTTCAGGGTTCGACCTCTGCGGTAGTATCAAGCTGCGCCCCAGCGAAGCATTTTATTAAATGTTTAAAGGAGCATTAGCTTATAGATAAAAATAAAATATGATTTTTTTTTGTTCAAACTTTAATGAAAGTGAAATAGTTTTCGCTTTTAGCAGCCAGTTTGGTTCAGTTTTGTCAAAATAGGCAAAGAAACATCGCTAAAGAATTATTCACTTGCAAGTGAATATTTCAACCTCATTAAATCCATATTCATGTGAACTTCAATTGAACCCCTCAGCTAGAGATGGATTACGCATGAACTAGGCATGTTCAGCTATTAAAAAGAAAAGAATGTCAACATTTGAAGTGAAACAAGGGTAAACCATTTGGTTGACTGATTCCATCTTCAAAAACTCATTCTTATACAGGTAAAAACGATTATTAACATATTTTTATACGACCGCAAAAAAATTTTTGTGGTCGTATATTGGTATGACGTTGGCGTCGTCGTCGTCCAGCGTCGTCCGTAGACACATTGGTTTTCGCACTCTAACTTTAGTTTAAGTGAATGGATCTCTGAAATTTTACTACAAGGTTCAATACCACAAAAGGAAGGTTGGGATTGATTTTGGGGTTATGGTACCAACAGTAAAGGAATTAGGGGCCAAAAATAAGCATTTTTGTAACTTCCAGACAATAACTTGTGTTCAAGTGTATGGATCTCTCTGAAATTGTACTGCAAGGTACCATACCACAAAGGGAAGGCTGGGATTGATGATGGGGGTAATTGCCTCAATATTTTAGGAATTAGGGGCCAAAAAGGGGCAAAAAACACATTTTTCTAGTTTCCAGACAATAACTTGTGTTCAAGTGTATGGATCTTTCTGAAATTGTACTGCAAGGTACCATACCACAAAGGGAAGGCTGGGATTGAGTTTGGGGGTGATGAATCATAAGGGGGTTCAAAAAATTTGAGGGGGGGGGGGGGGGGGGGGGTTCATTTTTTTTCTTTTTTTCCTTTTTTTTTTCTTTTAAAATTTTCCATTTTAAGTTGGTTATTTCTGATTTATATTTAAAAGCAAATAATTATGATATGGTAGGAGATACACACCAAACAGGATGTGTAAATTATTATATATAATAAGTATTGTGCAATAGCAAGAAATTTTCAATTGCACAGTAATGCACAATAGCAAGAAATCTTCAATTGCACAGTATTGCGCAATAGCAAGAAATCTTCAATTGCACAGTATTGCGCAATAGCAAGAAATATCCAATAGCACAATATTGGGCAATAGCAAGAAATTGTCAATTGTACAGTATTGCGCAATAGCAAGAAATATTTAATTGCACAGTATTGTGCAAAAGAAGATACTTCATATAAATTGCTTATTTCTTGACCAATTTCAATGGGGTTTTATTCTTGAATTCTTGGGGTTCTTTAATATGCTGAATCTAACCGTGTATTTAGTTTTTGGATTTTGGGCCCCGTTTTTAAATTGGTCCACATTGAGGTCCAAAGGGTCCAAAATTAAACTTTGTTTGATTTCATCAAAAATTGAATTATTGGGGTTCTTTGATATGCCGAATCTAACCATGTATTTAGATTCTTAATTTTTGGTTCTGTTTTCAAATTGGTCTACATAAAGGTCCAAAGGGTCCAAAATTAAACTTAGTTTGATTTTAACAAAAATTGAATTCTTAGGGTTCTTTGATATGCTGAATCTAAACATGTCTTTAGATTTTTGATTATGGGCCCAGTTTTCAAGTTGGTCCAAATCGGGGTCCAAAATTAAACTTTGTTTGATTTCAACAAAAATTGAATATATGGGGTTCTTTGATATTCTGAATCTAACCATGTATTTAGATTTTTGATTTTTGGGCCCCGTTATCAACTTTGTCCACATTGAGGTCAAAAGGGTCCAAAATTAAACTTTGTTTGATTTCATCAAAAATTGAATTCTTGGGGTTCTTTGATATGCTGAATCTAACCATGTATTTAGATTTTGGATATTGGACCATAATAGGTGAATGTTCAATTTAAAATTTTTAAGTTCTTAAACCACATTCATTCTGTGCAGAAACCTATGCTGTGTCAAATATTTAATCACAATCCAAATGCAAAGCTGTATCAAGCTTAAATGTTGTGTCCATACTTGCCCCAACTGTTCAGGGTTCAACCTCTGCGGTCGTATCAAGCTGCGCCCTGCGGAGCATTTTATTAATTTTTCAATACAGTTTAACTGCCCAATTAGCATGATTTTTAGATATGTAAATTGCAGGGATAGAGAAATGAAATTTTTGAATATATGTATATTTCAGGGATAGAGAAATGAAATTTTTGAATATATGTATATTTCAGGGATAGAGAAATTAAAAGATCGTGAATACCTTGGTACTGTCCAGTCTATATGTCTTAATGCTGACTATGCTGCAGCTAGGTTTGAGGGAAAAGTCCAGCTTCATATGGTAAATATTTCATGTCTGACCCAGAAGATTTAGATTTTTCCAGTCATGCAAGTTTGAGTTTTTTTAATTTGAAATACAATAAAACCTGTTTTTAGAGACCACTTCAGGAAGAGCTAAAAAAGTGTCTTTAAAGACAGGTGGTCTTTTAATACAGGTTCAATATATAGAAAGGGACCTTAAATTAATGGTCTTATAACACAGGTTTTTGCTTAATACAGGTGATCTCTTAAGCAGTTTTTACAGCATATTTTTTTGGACAAGAATGACTATTTGAATTTCTTATTTGGAATAACTGTTCCTATGATTTCCAACAGCCCAAGGGCTACTAGTGGTTCTACATAAGGAGGTAAACAAATAAGGAATAAAAAATTAAATTAGCTTCAAACTTGATTTCAAAAAATTGATGTCCATATGTACTGATTAGTTTTTGGTGAAATATCATCAAAAAGTGATTGTTTTTATTATATATACATGAATCAAGAGTTATGTTCTCTTTTGATTTATGGTATGTTTACATATATCATAAGAACTTAACATTGTACAGAATTAAAAAAAAATGTAACTTTAGTAAAACTTGCAATTAAAGAAACATATGAATTTCTGTATTATTAGTTACTACATTTTTACTGTATTATTAGTTACTACATTTTTACATGTATTTTGATGATTTAAGATGATTTTTTTTCAATTTACAGATAGAAGGTGAGACCCAAGGAACAACTGATGAGAGAGAAACAAAAATTTTCCCTGAAAGAGACCAAGATGACAACAGAATAACATGTCATGCCATTACTCCAGAGTTCCTTATATATGGAACTGATGTAAGTCTGTCTTGTAATTAATGTGAATAAGGATATAAGTTTCAAGTTTACTTTAACTAGCTTATTATATTGAAAAAATGACTGAAGACAGAAAAAAATATGGAGTTAATTTGATAAGAGATAAAATTGCTTCTACACAAAGGCTATTTGTTAAATTGCATTGTACAATGCAAACAGTGTTTTATCAAGAACTTCATTTAATTAATGTCTTAACCATCATTTCATGTTAAGAATATTTCACAGTTTAAATAAGTGAACTCTTTAAGTTTGTTCATTTTGGCCATTGCATCAACTTAGCTTAGTATTTCTTGAATTCATTGATGTTTTTAATCATGTCATATTGTTTTTTTTATGTCCCACCTATGATAAAAGGAGTGCAAATTATTTTACAATCCATTTAGTCTTCCTATATCAGGTGAAAGTTTTGTTTATAGGTAGTTTACCATAGAGTTGCCAAATAGACCACTTTCAAGTTATGTCCTTCACCGGAAAAAGTCGTCAATTATGTGCGCCTTTATGACGTCATTTACCAGATAGAGGATCGCCTGTATCCCTGCACTATTAACGTTCAACAAGCGTCTTTGTGATCGTCATGGTGCAGGATAAACTAGAAATAATATTTGTTCCGTAGGTACTTAATAACAATGCCCTAATGACAGCAGTGCTGATTGTCAATTATAAGAATTTAATTTGCTGAATAATTTGTGCAATATAGCATCATATTTTTCTAACCACTTGCTCAACATGGGAACGGAAGTGACGATGCCCCTAAACGCACAAATGATGTTTACTAAAACCTAAGTTTTTGACGGAAATGCATCGAACTCGAAATTTGTCTATTAGGGTTGTGACTTAGATTTCACAGATTTAATGACTTAATGAACAATTGACTGAAACTTTTTTGTATACAAATTTAAATTATTTTTCAGAATGGAGGAATAAATTATTTCTACATTGAAGATTGGAACATGGTGAATGAGTTTAGACATATTGTAGGAATAAAGAATATTTTTCCTGACAGTAGTGGCACTAGAGTAATCTTCATTGATAACAAAAGTGATGGATTTGTGTATAATCCTGTAAGTGATAAGACAGAAATAAAAGTCATGGTTCATAATCCTTTAAGTTGTAAAACAAACCAAAAATGCCAAGCGATAAATTCTTTTTTGTTGTTGTTGTTGTACATGTTATAACATTTTATTAGTTTATCTGGTATCTATAAGTGAATGAAATCTAGTTTGTGAACAGCCATATTGTGAATTATGTTCATAGTTAGTGAACAGCCATATTGTGAATTATGTTCATAGTTAGTGAACAGCCATATTGTGAATTATGTTCATAGTTTGTGAACAGCCATATTGTGAATTATGTTCATAGTTAGTGAACAGCCATATTGTGAATTATGTTCATAGTTTGTGAACAGCCATATTGTGAATTATGTTCATAGTTAGTGAACAGCCATATTGTGAATTATGTTCATAGTTAGTGAACAGCCATATTGTGAATTATGTTCATAGTTTGTGAACAGCCATATTGTGAATTATGTTCATAGTTAGTGTTTAAAAATTATATATTCAGTGGCAGATAAACAGATGTGAATAGTATTTGATTGTGGCATTAAAGTAAAGACTTGAAGGTGTGATTATGATTTTAAATTATAGCTATACTTTCATAAGGAATCAATACCCTGGCCATCTATAGATTAACATTACTAGTATCTTTATTCTTTCCAATAACCAGATCAGACTTTACTCATAATAGACCTTTTAATCTTATCCATGAATCTTATTGACCTAAAATGAAAGCCTACCCAAGTTTAGTAATAAAAATCACTGAATTTTGACTGTTTAATATCTTTGATGCAGGTGAATGACCAAGTGTTGGATATACCAAATTTTCAATCAACAGCAAAAGGTGCATTGTGGGAAAACTGGGCACCAGATAGAGTAAGTTTTCTGTATAGATTGTAACAATGTATACTCTATTGATGGATAATCTCACAATTTGTGTAGAAGCCAATCTGTATGAGGTACTGAGGACCAAGAGAGTTCCTAGGGGACAATGTAACTTAATACTATGTAAACTAGTGCTTTAAGCAAGTTAATCTTTATCATATAAGATTGTTAATGCAAATGTACTCCCAATGTATATATGATATGCTGTTGAAGATAAAACTCTTGTGCAATTTTAGTATCAGCAGTAGTTTGTATTTTATTAGCTTTCGTAACAAAAAAGGATTTGAAGAAGGGCATTGAATTATGTGTAAACTTTGAATTTATGATAGTATAAATTAAGATATGAAATTAACATCTAATCCAAATTTTGCAACTGGTAGACTAATTCAAATTTATTTAAGACTTTCATGAAAAATTTAAAAAATCAAAATTGCTCATATGAAATAGTTTGAATTAGGTGTCTTTTTTGTAGCTTTAACTGAGTTCCAATTGAGTCATTTTACTTTGAGCAACACTCAATTTTTTGAATAGATTTTGATATAGTTAAAATTTAACTGAGGAGAGTCAAGAAATATGGACTAGGTTGAAAACACCTATTTAAAACATGTAACAGGTGAATAATACATGAGAAAACAAAGGAAAGTTTTTTTTCTAAAGTAAAAAAAAAGTACTATTAATAACAAAATGAATGCTCTGAAAGGGTCTGTAATTTCATGAATATATTTTTTACAGGGTGTGTTTATTACTTATGATGATGAAAAGATATATACTTATATGTACAGTAGAGAGAGTATGCATGGTAGGTTGTTTTATCTATATTCACTCTTAGCTATAATATGAAAGCTTGTTAACTTTTCCTTAGGTTTTTTGCCTGAGAATGCATTTCAAGACTTCTGTTGAAATTTTGTTTCCTCAAAAGCTACAGCAGAGGTTTAGTCCTTGCCATAATTTTTTTTTAATGGTAAATTATTTTTTTATACAAGAGAAAATACTGTGAATGTGGTCTCTAAATGCAGCTATCACATTAATTTTTTGCAAGTGGTCGATGGTTCAAAATTATGAGCTCACTGATTTTTCAATTTATAGAACTTATGCATGTACAATAGGAATTTGATTATTTCCTAATTTCTTCATGCTGGTATGTGATCAATTTTGATCATTATTGAAAGAAAAAAAAAGAAAAGAGGTTTATGGATTAAACTGAACACTTTTAAAGGTTTCCACTATGAAGTAAAACTTAATGCCATAAAATTGCTTTAAAGTATAGAATGCATTCAATTGGATTCAATATTTACATTATACTATCAAATTACAAAAAGCAAGACATATCTCTGTGTCAACAGTTTATTATGATTATATACCGATAACTATTCATGATCTTTGAGAAGTTATGTTAATTTATTGGTATTTTAGGACCAGTTGTGGAGTATGTTGGTGAATCAAAACTTCCCTATGGTAACATACCTATACTGATGTATGGTGGAGAGATAACACTTCAGTCTCAGAGTGGAAGGCTAGCCACACAGATGCTAGATACTCACTCAGCAGTAGTTGGTGAAGACCATGAAGACAACTTGGGTCCAGATCAGGTGAGTGATTTAAGGTTTGATAACTCTTTAGTTGCAGAGTGGACAGATTCTCAAAAAGACCCTAGGATTGTCAGTTTTCCTACTGAAGGTCGTTGGTTCTATCTGGGCACTCCGGCTTCCTCCACCAATAAAAACTGACCGCCACAAAATAGCACAGTAGTGTTGAAAGTGGCGTTAAACACCAATCAATCAAAAAGACCCTAGATATTCACTATAGAGTAATTGTTGTTGTAAACTTGGAGGACAACTTGGGTCCAGATCAGGTTGATTTATAGAATGGAAATAATTCTACAGTAGCTTGTTCCCCATACAGACTATAGATACCAGATCTCAATTTTAGCTATAGCAAAATAAGTCAATAGTTTTGAAACATTCGTAGGATTGTCAGAGCAGAATATTGATAAGGAAAATATTTTTATAATAAGAAATCTTATTGAATGGACATAAAAATAAAATATCTATTTAAAAAAGCTGTAGACATTAGCAGACATCAGGACAATTTCTGCAAAGGCAAAAGGCATGGTAAAGTTAATCCTAACATAGAACTTATCAGTTACACAATAATCATATATGAAAATATAATATCTTTTATAATATTTTCAGATAAGAAGTGCTCTGAAGCAAGGAATATTACTGAAGAGGTAAATTTTAATGGAAGAGGGATATGATTTGTGCAATTTAATGCTGAAAATTATTTTTGAACATACATAAAAGACAAAAATCAAGCACACACATACACAATAAGATTACAAAGTTAAATCTGCAACCAAATATTTTATGAAGTAATATATAACACATTTTTTAGATTTAAATCATTGACTGATATATGTTCAACATATACATAAGTTTAATCAATTTATTCATCAGTCATCCGTATGAAAATTTATCAAATTTCATTTTAGATTTAAGGATTGTTGGTCATTCTGTCAGAAACTAAATGATATTGTAGCTTGGATTGATCTAGGAAAAGGAGCTCTAAAAGCTTTAGAGGTGGACTTTGGTATGTTTTATTATATTCTGACATTTATTTTATTTTTGTCCTTAACAAAATCTGGTGGTTTTCATCTATTAAATTGATTTTACACCATATCTGCATAATCTTTTAGAATTAAATTGTATTTTTTCATCGAAATATTTGCAAAATATTAATTTTTTAAAACTTTTTTTCAGCCATCAGAGTATACAGGGATATTGGAGATGTTGGCATGGTAACATCCTTACATCAGTTAAGGGTATGTATATATATAAGTAATTTTATGTAGTTGGTGATTGACATTGTGATAAGCTAGGTATGAATATGCTGATCAAGTTCACATCATCTTCTGTATAGAATTTTAAGTTACACATTTATTCCTAACATGTTTACTTTAATACCTACACAATGCAGGACTCACAGGTGTGGAGCGTGGGTAAAAATTTATGGTAATGATAGTTATCATGTTTTGTCTCAAAGTTCAGCTAGCAATTAAGAAAAATTAGTAACAATCTAATGAAAGGATTATAAATAAAGGCACTGTAAACTTAATAACTTGTTTCTATACAGGATCCATGTGCTAAATAATATGAACCATGTCAAACTTTTAAAAGACTAAAACATTCTTAGACTTAAGAGCAGTGGGTATAAATTTGTAAACTTTTCTCATATAGCTATATGTGTTCCAAAAATAGAACAATGAAATAAAGAGGCATTTCCTTTTTAATTTTCAGAATTTGGAAGATCGTAATCTGTTATCAGGAAACATAGCTATGTTTTTGGGAGAATTCAACCTGGCTCAAGATTTGTTTTTAGCTTCAGGAAAACCACTGGCAGCTTTGGAGGTAGTTGTTGTATTATGTATAATTTTTTTTATTAATTAGAAAAATAAATATAATCATTGCGTCAACAGCTATGAAAGAAGACTTTGATAAAATGCAATCAAAACAAAAAGGATCTGTTTCCACAGAAGTAAAGATGAAAAGCAGAAATTAAACATAGAAAAACCAAATTTGTGAATATGAGGCAGATGGGTGTTAAGTGAAAGTTTAAATGTCATGGAAATTTGACACCGAATTACTATTGGACAGCTGTCGTGGAATATGCATAAGTTGAAAAAATACACAAGTTGGTACACCTCAGGCTAAAAAACCATGTGAAATTAAATATGTGCCCTTCACAATACAAAGTTACATATATTGTAATCAATGATGAAGGGTTTCCAGCTTTTATATTATTATATGTACATTTATGGTTACGTTCTTGACTTTTTACAATACATTTTATATTATTCTTGTCTGAAGGGCACCTGTTTCATATTCCATTTTTATTGTAGTCAAAATTGTATAATGAGGAAATTTAATCCTATTTTCTTCCAGATGAGAAGAGACTTGTTACACTGGGACAGTGCTCTACAGCTGGCCAAAGCTTTGGCTCCAGAACAGATCCCATACATTTCACGAGAGTATGCTCAGCAGTTAGAGTTTACTGGTGACTATATGAACGCTCTGTCTCATTATGAGAAGGGTATAACAAGAGAAGAGAAGGACAGGGAACATGATGAAGTTTGTGTTGCTGGAATAGCCAGAATGTCCATCAGAATGGGCGATATTAGAAGGTATCTATTTTCCCTTTCCATTGCTCTTTCTGTAATGGAACAGTGCTCTTTAGCTGGCTATAGCTATAGCTTTAAAGTAAATCTAGTAGATTTCATTTTCAAAAGTTTTTCTTACAATAAGCTGTTGGAAATCTACATTTTTAGGATATTTGAGACATACCTATCTTCTTTCATGGCAATATAAAGCCATGCTTATAAACTCTGTATAAAATTCACTCAATTACCTAATACTAACTTAAATAATCTTCTAAAGTTGAAAATTATGCATTATTTTTATGCCCCTGTCGTCACCGGAAGGGACATTAAGTGTTACCATTGTCAGTCCTTACGTCAGTACGACCCAAATTGGTTTCTGTTCTCTAACTTTAGTTTGCTTCAACCAAATGTTATGAAACTTATACACGATGCTTGTAACCACAAAACTCAGATCAAGTTGGAATTTCGGTGGTTTCAATTTTGCCTTTCTAGAGTTATGCCTCTTTATAACATTATATGCAAGCAGGGGCATCATCTGTGTCCCATGGACACATTCTCCATTTATTTAATCTTGCTCTTTAAGTTATCTACTCTGAACTGAGAAATTACATATGGGGTATAGATTTAGTTGTGGGAAACTATGCTAAAAAATAATATATATTCTAAATTGTTGTCCTTTTTTTTCAGGGGTGTTAATATGGCAATGAAAATGCCTAGTAGGATGTTGAAAAAGGAGTGTGCTGGTATCTTAGAAAGTATGAAAGTATGTATGCCATTTATGTTCATTTTTGATTTATGATTGCAGTTGTTTAATTCCTCTTCTTATTTTCTTTTGATATTTTTTTTTTTAAGTTTGAGCTATTTTACCCCAAAAGTTCAATTCTCTTACTTATTGTAAATCTTAATTATCTTTTCTTTTCAAATTTGGATAATGTAAGAATGGTAAACACTGAATAATTTCTACCTTTCATGAGTACACAATATTGTCCATGTTTTATTTTGCAACAATGAAATCTTATCATTTTTTTAATGATATTTAAACATTGTTCATTTATGTTATGATACGATTTTTCATTTTAGCAATGGACAGAAGCAGCTACTCTGTATGAACAAGGGGGATATTACGACAAGGCAGCTAGTGTTTACATAAGGGCTAAAAACTGGTGGGTATATCCATTTAAAAATGTCTTTTGTTTATATAAGCCATGCATACAGTATTTATTTATGACAATTTTTATCAACGTCATCATTTTGTCTGTGTAACTTTAAAACAAGAATGATTATACTCTTTTCAATTGTTGCGAGGGTATAATGTTTTTGTCGAGCCTGCGACTTTTGTCGCAGAAAGCTCGACATAGGGATAGTGATCCGGCGGCTGCGGCGGCGGCGTTAGCTTACTTCTTAAAAGCTTTATATTTTAGAAGGTGGAAGGTCTGGATGCTTCATACTTTGTATATGGATGCCTCATGTTACGAAGTTTCTGTCAGTCACATGTCCAATGTCCTTGACCTCATTTTCATGGTTCAGTGACTACTTGAAAAAAAAGTTCAGATTTTTTTTAATGTTAAATTCTCTCTTATTATAAGTAATAGGATAACTATATTTGGTATGTGCGTACCTTGCAAGGTCCTCATACCCGTCAGACAGTTTTCACTTGACCTCGACCTCATTTCATGGATCAGTGAACAAGGTTAAGTTTTGGTGGTCAAGTCCATATCTCAGATACTATAAGCAATAGGTTTAGTATATTCGGTGTATGAAAGGACTGTAAGGTGTACATGTCCAACTGGCAGGTTTTATTTGACCTTGACCTCATTTTCACAGTTCATTGCTCAGTGTTAAGTTTTTGTGTTATGGTCTGTTTTTCTTAAACTATAAGCAATAGGTCAACTATATTTGTTGTATGGAAGAATTGTTAGCTGTACATGCCTGCCTGGCATGGTTCATCTGACCTTGACCTCATTTTCATGGTTCATTGGTCAATGTTTAGTTTTCTTGGTTAATGTTAAGTTTATGTGACAGTTGTAATAAAGCTTTATATTTAGGACTATCAACATAATATCAGTGATTAGTAAAGAAGGCGAGACATTTCAGCGTGTGCACTCTTGTTAAAATCATAAGTGATAAAAGTTTACTGTACACTTAGAAGATTTAGAAGGACATCAAATTATACAAGATGTTTTATGTATAATTTATAGGAATAAAGTTGGAGATTTGTTATCTCATGTTACCTCACCAAAGATACATATCCAGTACGCCAAGGCGAAGGAAGCAGACGGTCGGTTCAAAGAGGCAGCTGAGGCTTACAAGAATGCTAAAGATTGGGATCAAGTTATCAGGTTAGTTTATTTAAGACCTATAGCATTTTTTTTAATGTATGCTTATCATAAAATTTTGTCTATCTTGAGAATTTCACATTAATAAATATGGATATCAATTTATTGATGACATTTTTTCTGATTTTTTTAAATTTTGATTACAATCCAACAAGTCTTATGAAAAACATGTTTTTTATCAATATAAACTTCAAAAGATTGATCTTAACAGTAGAACCATAATACAAATTTACAATTCATTGGTTCTCATAATCAATGAATTCAAATTAGGTACTGGAATTTTTAATGCTAATTCAAATTTTCAGAATCAATTTGGATTACCTACAAAACCCTGAGGAAGCTGTGAAGTATGTGAGAGAAACACAGTCTATAGAGGGAGCTAAGATGGTAGCCAAGTAAGTAATTTAAATTGTCCGTATTGCTGATGAATATCCTTACTATTATGACTAAAATATTTTCATCAGTAAGATATTAACTGTAGCCAAGTATGATATTCAGATATTTATCTTCTTATTGAAATCTGTACCTCTAATAAAAGATATTTTCTCGATAGGCTATTGTTAACAATTTACATTCCTATGAACTATACATCCCTTTCATTCACAAAAAAAAATATTTTCACAAAGTTATGGCGCACAAGATAAAGTTTATAGATTCAAATTTATTCTTAATTTAACAATGTGTTACTTCATTTAGGTAAAAGAATAAAAATTCTTATTTTGACAATTCAATATAGAAATAAAGTCATGTTTTCATAGTTTCATGTTTTATAAATAATTAAAAAGTGATGATATATTACAAATGTTTTAAAGAAAATCTGCATTCATTTTCAGATTTTTCCAGAAACTGAATGATTATTCATCAGCCATACAATTCTTGGTCATGTCCAAGTGTAATGATGAGGCCTTCCAGTTAGCCCAGGCCCATAATCAGATGGAGACCTATGCTGACATTATAGGTAATAAATATATTTGTGTTGCAATTTAACAATAAAAAATCTGATATGATATTTACGATTATAACTCAACATCGGATGTAAGCATTAAATATAGTTGATGGATTTTTTCAATACACTATTTGGGAAGTCTAATGCAACCAAAAGGATGCTTTGGTTTTATCTATTAGAAGTTAAAAAAAAGAAAAAAATGAGTGTCTTTCATTATTTACAGACAACCCTTCTTTCACCTTTAAACCTAAATTGTTTATTTCTTTGAAATTTTCTCTACCTGACTATTGACCTCTAAGAAAGACTGGTTTTATAATATTACATGAAAACATTTGTCATAAAAATGTGACACACCCAAATTTTTTTTCATCCATTAAAAGCTTGTTGATGTTTATATTACATTAAATAGAAGAAAGTGATAACACCTGCAAAATAATCTTTATTTTTTATGATAAGTGATATATTTTGATTTAGAACACCAAATGATATTCTGATTATTTGTTTAAACCTTTTGTTTATCATTTTTATGTTTGATTTTAGGAGCTGACGCAACACCAGAAGACTACCAGAGTATTGCCTTACATTTTGAGAATGAAAAGAACCATTTCCTATCTGGAAAATTCTTTTTATTAAGTGGACAATACAAGAGAGTAAGATTTCGTCACTGCAGAATTAAATTTTTTACAAGAAATAGTTTCCTAAGAAAAACTGCTATAATTTAAACTGAATGTACAAAGTGAAAGTAAAAATGCTGTCAAACTTTTTATATCTTTGGAAGTCAAAATTTTTGGTCTCGATTGAATCTATGAAGGTTACTCCTGAAACATGCACACAGGAAAATCATCTAGTATGTTTTTCTTTCAAATTTTGAAAAATAATTTTTGTGCGTGATGTCATTTGTGTACACAAAAACAACAAAATACACACATTCAGAGAGAAATTTTTGTTTGAAAATGATTTTAGAAAATGTTTAGTTATTGAAGTGAATAAATTTTTCTTAGTTGATGATAATTCATAGTAAAGTACACTTATTTTGCACCAGTTTGCTGTTACTGTAGACATTTTCAAGACACAACTTTCCACAAGTCACAAATTTTGAGTCACTTAAAGCATTTCAGTAAATTGACCAATATTTGAGTTTAAAAATTGAATCATTCAGGCAATGAAACATTTCCTGAGGTGTAATGGTGAAGATAGCCAGGCTATAGAGTTAGCCATAGAGACTGTAGGACGAGCCAATGATGACAGTCTGACCAGACAGCTGATAGACTTCCTTATGGGAGAGACAGACAACATGCCCAAGGTTGGTGTGATTATAACAGTGACTATATTATAAGTGTTCCTGCTCTTGTTTCCAAATCCCAATTTTTGGATTACTTAAATTTCATATTTATTTACTCTTGTAGCTTTACATTACAAATTCTTTAATAAAATATGTATACACACTTTAAGCGTTCCTTACAACCTATTGCAGTTCAGTTCAGTTTTTTATCCAATTTTCATTTGTTTAATTGATCAATCTTTATAACTGGTCAGAAATTTAACAAAACTGCATTAGAAGAACCACATTCAAACCATCAATGTAAGTAGTGCAAAGAAAAAAGAAGACACATTTAAAAAGCAGGATTTGATTGAAAGAACAATAACTGTCACCACATATTAAAGAAAAATCTCCCTTTTAAACACAAAATAAAATGAACCAACAGTATACCTCTACAAATGAAATTATGTTTAATATATGATTGTCTTATATTTGTATAGGATGCTAAGTACTTGTTTAGGCTGTACATGGCATTGAAACAATACAGAGAGGCTGCTAGAACAGCTATCATCATAGCCAGAGAAGAACAAAATGCTGGTTTGTTTTTTTAATATCACATCCACAAATTTACTGCAATTGAAAATAATTTAAAGATTAAGTCTTTAATAAAGAGCTGCGCCATGAGTGCATGATACGTCTGTTGCTTTTTCAAAGAATAAAGTTCCAGAACTCATTGATGTCATATCAGAAATTTATAAAAAAATAAAGGGAGGTTATTTTAATAGATATAAACCAGTCACCAAAGTTTCATGAAAACTGCTCAGAGCTATTGTCCGAAATACTGGAAAATCTCCCCTTTTTTATGAATAAAATCCCATTACTCGGAAACGTAATATCTAAAATTTATAAAAATCAAAAGGGAGCTTACGTCAATAGATGTAAACAATTCAAAGTTTCATGAAAACTGCTCAAAGCATTTTTGAGTTATTGTTTGAAAACTGAAAAAAAAAACCTCTTTTAATGAATAAAACCCCATAACTCAGAAACATAAAATCTAAAATAAAAATCAAAAGGGAGCTCACGTCAATAGATATAAACAATTCACTAAAGTTTCATGAAAATTGGTTAAAGCGTTTTTGAGTTATTGTCCGACATGTTGACAATGGACGATGGACGAACGGACAATGGTTTACCAAAAATACGTCCCGTAAACAGACATATAAAAATTAAATGAGGGTGTTCAGCTTTCAAGTATACTGTTTTTTTTATTATTATTATTTAAAATATGTTATTATACCTTTGGTCTGAATTAAAATGAGATTTCCCTTACAAAATTATCAACTTTGCCATGGCTTTATTTGGGGTACTCATATTGTATCCCCAACTCCCTCTAAACACCTTATTACAATTTATTGAAACTTTCTCAATTTCTTAACCATATAATACTATTGTGTACCTCCTATTTTGTTTTTAATATCAGAATAATGTTTGGGGTATCTTTCGCCAAAACAATGACTTAACTGTTGCTTTATTTTGGGAGTACCCATTTTGTATCCTAAACTCCTCCTAAAAGCCCTTATAACAATTTAGTGAAAATTTCTCACAATCTTTTTACTATTGTAAACCTTTTTTTTTTTTTTCAAAATCATTTTTGAGGTTTCCTCAATTAAATCATGTGTACACTACATTGTAACAATATGCATTTATATCCCCTTCTAAATCTCAGAACAGAATTTGATGAAATTTTCTCAGAGTGTTCACCATATAATGCCATTGTGCTACTCTTATTTTGTTATTGGTCATAATTATTTTGGGGGCTTCTCTTACCAAAGCATAGACTTTGAAAGGGAGTCAAAGTTATATGACTATACTAAGAATTTTCTACCCCAAGAATAGAGTACCTTAGCTGTATTTGGCAAAACCTTTCAGAATTGGTCCTCAATGCTTTTCAACTTCAAACTTTTGAGTGACAAAACATACATTTTTATCCTGGTATCTATGATTATCATTTTTTACTAGCAATACCTGTAGGTGATAAATGATATGATTCTGCCCCCATTTAAGAATTTTATTTAGTTACAAAAGGCTGCCTACTGTAACAACTTTTCTAGAGCATTTTATTTTGCATAAATATTTTATGGAAATGCTCTAATTCTTATGAGAAGTTAAATTAATTTGAGTAAAAAAAGCTAAACTTATTGTCAATGTGATTATTTTTTTTAGTGTTAGGTACTTGTGATTAATTTTTGAGTGTCCTGTACCTATGCTATATTTTTTTATGTCAACAGGTAACTACAGGAATGCCCATGATGTACTGTTCAGCATGTTCCAGGAACTCAAACAACAGAAAATTAAAATTCCTTCAGAAATGGCAACAAACCTGATGATTCTACATAGCTATATATTAGTCAAGGTATAGAGAGAAAAAACTATAACATTTGCTTACTCTTACTGTGAATTCATTATCATTCATGGGATAATAATTTTTGTGATTTTTTTAGAGTACAGGTAAACCATGAATTTAAATGTTCAACAAGGTACATATTTTCTATACGCTTGTATATGCAAACTTTGGTAAAACCACGATATCAAATTTCCATGAAAATATAGTTTTCCCTCAATCAACAAAAAATAAATGAATCCACAGTAATTGATTTGGCAAACGGTTGTAATGATTGGTTGTTTTAATGATTGTATATTACTGGATCAAAATCAATACTTTATATTTATGATAACTAGTTACATAGTAATACATACACTAAGAGAAAGGTGTATAATGCTTATATCGTAAATGTGATGCAATGAAATTTATGCGAAAATGAAAAAAATAAAATCTTAAATTTAAAGCATTATAAATAAAGTTGTAATTGAAGAAGATATATTTAAAATACAAAACTTTAATTTGTGCATTTAATCTAAAAAAAATAAATTGCAGTAAATGTCTATCTACATGTAAATGTTAATTTTATTTCAGATTCACGTAAAAAGAGGTGATCATCTTAAAGGTGGCAGGATGTTGATCAGGGTTGCAAACAATATCAGTAAATTTCCATCTCGTAAGTTTTTCTTATCATATAAGCTAATATGCTGGTTTTAATTCAGCACCAATATAAACCTTTCCTGAACCATTAATTAACATTTGGTTTTTTTTTTTATTTAGTATTGTATTGTTGGGTTCTTGTCTCATATACCACACAATTCTGGGGAGTAGAAATGTACTGAATGCACTGGTTGATTCTGTATTAATTTTGTTTCACTGCTATGGTTGTACTGACCTCCCTTAACTTTATTATCACAAAATGTCATGAAAATTTTAATGTTACCATCTATTTTTATCGTAAGATCCTTGTGAAAATAGCCCAGATCTTTATAGCAATCACACAGTGTGTTATGGCGCTTATGCCTGAACATTTTTAGTAATTCATTGGTTAAAACTTAAAATAAGATTTGATATGTTTATATTTGTTTAAATAATTTCCAGATATTGTCCCTATATTGACATCAACAGTGATAGAATGTCACAGGGCTGGATTAAAGAATTCTTCATTCAGTTATGCTGCCATGTTGATGAGACCTGAATACAGGAACCAGATAGATTTGAAATATAAGAAGAAAATAGAAATGATTGTCAGGAAACCAGACAAGACGGAGGAGGAGGAACCACTGACACCTTGTCCTTACTGTGGATTCCAGATCCCAGAAACTGATCTGCTCTGTCCGGATTGTAAAAATAGCATTCCATATTGCACTGTTACGGTGAGTATGATACATATAGAATAATAGCACTTTTGTTTTTGATACTGACTATCAAGTGTGCCTGATAGAGTAAGCTGACATTCAAAATGGTAAAATCTTATATGCTTTAACATTGTAATGCTGAAAATTGTAGTGAAATATTTCCATACTATGAAATATATTGTTATAAACTGTATACAAGGAGTAAGATTAACTCATGTTTTATACCTTTTGCTTTGTTTTTGCAAGTTTTTAAACTAAAAAGGTGATAGATTTGATTGGTTATCTTGATATTCAATTTTGAACAAATTTAAGAATCTATATATTAAACATGCTACCAGATAACCAAATTGACCATGTTGTTAAAAATCAGGTAATAAACCTAACCCTTTATCTTTCAGGGAAGACATATATTGAAGGATGATTTAACAGCTTGTCCTAAGTGTGATTTCCCTGCTATATTCTCTGAATTTCTTAGGTAAGAAGTTATACAGTATGTTGACAACGTCTTAGTATGCCCCAACTACCATAATAGAGTGTTATTATGTTTTCCGGTATGTGCGTCTGTTAGTGTGTCTTTGAGTCCATATTAGTTTAAAGTTTTGGTATCACATCAAGATCAAACTTAGTAAACATGTTCATTATGAAGTGAACTGTTAAATGTATATGCCAAATTAGGGTTTCGATCCAAATTTCATGGTTCACTAAACATGGAAATGTGATAGTGCATAACAGGTTAAAGTTTTAGTTTAAGGTAGTTTGTGGTCACATCAACATGAAACTTTGTACATATATTCATTATAAAGTAAACTGTTAGATATATATACCAAATTAGGGTTCTGACCGATGTTTCATGGTTCACTGAGCTTGGGAATGTGATAGTGGGAGAAGGGCATGGTGTCGTTTGACACATATACTTGTATTATCTATATATTATGTAAATTGAAAGTCAAAACAAATATTTTGAACAACAACTTTCATCTGATTTTCATGAATTTTTCAGCAATATATTTTGTTAAACGTCATAGTTTCTTATGTTTACCATTATATGATTTTTATGAATTTTAGATTTTTGGAAATCAAGATTTGATTATAAAATTTCATTTTTAAATCACAAATTTGCTTTCAACTTGTAGTACTTAAAGAGAAAAAAGTTTGTGTTTAACTTAAGACTTCTTGACAACAGAACTATGAAATTATCACAAGAATCAACAAAACATCCTTATGTATTTTTGAAATATTTACAGATTTAAATAGATACTGGTATTTAAAAAATAAAGAAAAAGCAGTGATCCATATTCTGTATAATGCATTTTAAAGGATAATAAAGTGCTATGTATCAAGTTTATATTTACTTTAACATTGATTCAAATTAAGGTTTGTAACTCTGCTATAAAATTATCCAGTAAAATGTATTTCATTATTGAACAAAATAATAAAGATTATTTTGAAGGAGTTTATAGAGATATTTCGGGGCCTTTTATAGCTGACTATGCGGTATGGTCATTGCTCATTGTTGAAGGCCATACGGTTACCTATAGCTGTTAATTTCTGTGTCATGTGATCTCTTGTGGAGAGTTGTCTCATTGGCAATCATACCACATCTTCTTTTTTATATTAGTTGACTAGCTCACAAACAGAATAAATCAGAGAGACTATTTGTTAAGTTTATATGAGTTAAATGCCAAGTTCACACATCAATAAACTTATTATAAATATTCATAGTGGATTGGTTGATTGTTGTTGCATTTATATTCAGTGTAAAAAATGTTTGTATATTTTGTTTTTGAAACATCCTAAATTTTTAAGTATATTCTACATTTGTTTTGCAGGCTGTTGGAGACTGAGGAAACTTGTCCCATGTGCTCTGAGAAAGTGTTGAAAGAAAATCTAGAGAAAATCACTGATCCTTCTAAATATCTTAACCCAGAAGAAGGAACAGAGTAGAATCAGGAAATTGTTGACAGTCCAGAATTGATTACAATGTTCGACACGTTATGGACATAACAAACAGCTTTAATGATCCTAACAATTTAAAAGACTTGATTTCAAATAACTTATTCTATTTTTGTATTAACTTGATCTGCACACATTGGACTTGTACATGATAAATTCAAGGAATTTTCATTATTTTTCTCATTTAGTGCTGAATTGAAGAGTATCGTGTTTTATGACAGTAGTACATTCCTATTATACAATTTTTATATATTTATTAATTGATTAGTTTTACTAAAGATTATCAATTCTTGTGATTCTCATGTAGATTATGTTATTCCGTCCATGTAAACATGGTTGTTCTACAATAATAAACTTTAGATGTGAAGTGTATATTATTTTAATCCTTTTATTTTGTATCGTACTGTGGATTTTTTTTCTTACATGGGTAACCAATTTTTGTGGATTTTGTGTGTATAGTTTAACACTGAATTAAATGTTCAACAAAATATACATTCTCTATAGGCTTGTATGCAGACTTTGGAAAAACCACAAAATTAGAAACCACAAAAAAACACTTTTTCCTCAATACAATTGGTAACAAGAAAAATACATGAATCCTCAGTACCATGTAAAAAAAGATGAAAGATTACATTGTAAAATATAATGTTATAAATACCTGTCCATACACAATTCGTCATCACCCAAGGTAGGAGAACCTTGGGACTTATTAAGGGGAAATGGCTCCACCATAAGATTGGCAAAACCAAAGAAATAAGAAAATTAAGTGTTGACTGTGCGCCTCCCCCCCCCCCCCCCCCTATAAGTTGACAAAACAAAATAATAATAAAATGTAATGTTAAACAATTGTTTTGGATCTGCATACATTATCTATACCCCATTGATTGAATCACCAAATTATCAACCTGGCAAATTTTACTTATTTGTGCAACTATGGCAAACATAAATGATAAGTGTTTAGCCCACTGTATCTTTGTTATTGCTAAGTTAAAGAACAACCCCAATTACTGATTCTATTGTTTTTGTAAAGCTTTAGTTTATCAAATTTTATCAGGAATACTCAGACCTAAAAATAAGAAAACAATAAGGAGGGTAAAAAACACTTAGAAACAATAAAATTGGAAAAAAGACAAATATAAAAATAAGGAGATCTGGTATGATTGCCAATGAGACAACAATCCACCAAAGTTCAAATGAAGTGGATGTAAGTATAATTATAGGCAACCATATGGCCTTCAACAATGAGACATACCCATTCTGTATAGTCAGCTATAAAAGGCCCCAACATGAAAAATATGAAACCATTCAATTGAGAAAACTAACAACACATTTTTCCTGTTGGATCTGGAGCCTACATTTTGGTGAGAATTGCAACATGATAACAAATAATTTATCAAAAAGTAGGTAATAAATCATGTAAGCACTGAGCACAGGACCTTTGACAACTGATTTAGCTAACCTGACCAACAGAACCAGTACATGACCTTTGACAACAAATGTAGCTAACTTGACCGACAGAACTACCACAGGACCTTTGACAACAAATATAGTGTATATGACCAAGAGAACCACTACAAGCTTTTTCATGAATTAGTATCTCTCATCCAACCATAATCCATCAGAAACTTTTTCAACAATAGTAATATATTAAGCCACTTGACAAATTGGAAGCAAACTCATAAATAAAAGAAGATGCTTGGATATAGAATAATGAGACAGCAACCCAATGACTCAAAAACAACAAATTAGATTCAGAGGTCAATGTATTTTTAAACAATAGAAAATGTCTTTTTTATAGTCAAGCTCTTGACTAAATGAATAAATTTTACAGTGATTATCAGCATTAAATTTGTTAAAGGACCCCAAAATACCTAGATGCTGAAGACAGTTCTTAACCAGGTTCTTGTCTTGGGAAAGCCACATTAAAAAAGTTGAGTTAAATAATGGCTGATTTTGTAATCTCATCTCAATTTTAATCTCCATCAGTGGAGTAATAAAAGACACACAGAAAGCTGATTGACTGTTGTTTGCTTAACATCCGGTGGTAATTATTCATTGCATATTCAGGATGAGAACATATTAAAAAAATCAATTTGGCAGGTTCTGAAGAGTGATTTGACTGTTTATAACAGGGTCTAGTTGGGGTTTTAGATTGAGGGATAATTGGTCTTGATGTGGTTTTCAAAACAGAGTAGAGGAAAATTGGCCTCAAAAATAAATACAAGAAAATAATGAGCAAAACATAAAATAGAGAAAAGCCTGAAGAATGAAAGATTATAGAAATGATGACCCCACCCAATCCAGACCCTCATAACAAGTCTATCTCTCAGAGTTGTTGCTTGTAGTCTTAAAAATACATTGAGTGATTTCGTCTCGTTACATTGATTTTTAAATTTGATGTCTTAATACATACCGTATATATCATCTTATTTAGTTAATATACATCCCACAAATAGCTTGGTTTTCATGCTGGTACAAGTAACTATATTCCTATACCCCAGACACCTTTTGATGTATAAAGATGTATGTAAAAAAAACTCAGTTCAGAAACAGTAGTCTGCATTATGTATAAAAGTTATATCCATGGATATCATCAAGGGTACCATGTCTACAAACAGAATTTTGTGAGGAAAACATATTTCTCAGCCAATGTCCCAGACGATTTGTCCATTGGAGTTATATATTGCAAATATTGTAATTGTCCCTTTTCCTCATCAGTTTATTAACGAGACAATGTCCCAATTTTAAAAAGCAAAGACCGTAAGTTGACCTGAAGAATTTTTTGGTCTCTTTGTGTACTTGGTTTGTTGTTTCTTTAACACCACTTCGTGTAAACCTCATCAAAGACACCATGCTTATGATTAAATACGTAAGATGTGCGTTTCGTCTACATTAGACTCATCAGTGGTGCTCCAATCATAACAGCTTGTTGGCAAAATTGAACACGAAGTTGTAAGAGCATTGAAATCCAAAAATTCAAAAAAGTTGTGCAATATCTGGTTAAGGCCAAATACACATGCGGAAAGAAAACCTAAGCGTTTTAAATAATTCAGCATGCTATAGACAGTAACTTTAAGAAAATGACTGTATTGATGATATTTCATATCAGCACAGATGTGCAGACCATTGGGTTTGTGATACTCTCGGGATGATACGTCCACCAGCAGTGAAATCGGCCAAGTGCGTGTAAATACTCATCACAATTTACCAGGTTTATGATTAAGTACGCCAGGCCCGAGTTTCGTCTACATCAGACTCGTCAGTGACTATCTAATCGAAACAATTGGAAGGCCATATCAAATACGAAGTTGAAGAGCGCTGAAATACAAAAAAATACAAAAAGTGTACCACATATGGCTAAGGTCATCTATGCATGCGGGTAGAAAAACCTTGCGTTGTTAAAACTTTTTATCAACATAAAAAAGAAAAAGAGAAACATTACTTAGATTAAAACAACCAATGAAAACTATGTCATAAATTCATTGCGTTGTAAATACAAAAAAAAGAAACTAGAAAATGACATGCAGTTACCGATAATTCAATTACTTTTCCAGATAAATGTATACAAGGCTACTACTCACTGTAAAAGGACGTCCTAAACAGATACTACCCCCCTCCTCAAACCACAGACACGCACACAAAAGAAAAGATGGACACACTTTCAGAATATGCACTGCACTCTTGTGTTATACCACGAATAATATCAGTTTTATACTTTGTATTTTTTGTACAAATGAGTTAGAACAAGTATCTGTTTACCCCCTCCTTTCTGTCAAAATATAGAGATATTTCTAAACTATTTTATTTGTTTCGATAAAAGCAGATATATCCAGTCAGGTTCGTACAGACGGCGTGCATAAAGCTAAGTCCACAAACGTAACGTCTTCAAATTACTTCAAACATTTACGACGTTGGCATTTTTTCCCCAGAAAACAAACGCGTAACAAAAACACTGGACACTTAGTTTATCACATAGCTTAAAACATAAACGTTCAACATATTCCCTTTTTCTTAACAACAAAGTGTAGGATATGCATATTCGGGAAATATAAATAAATATATGCTAAGAGCAGTGTAATGGATATAATAAGCGACTATGTCGTGGACCCTAATCAGAAAATAGCGTTAAAACGTCATTTCTTTAAATTGTAACATAATAGCTGGACATTAAAAAAATTCAGGTTTTCAGCCTGGACTATCGAATCATTCATATTTTGCAGGTTTTTTTAAACCTCTTGTTATGCACATTTGGAACATCAACTTATTTTGAAATAAAAAAATGGCAATTAAATATTTTTTCTAACCGATTCTTCCATTTTCGAATATTAATCCTTCCAAATAACTACTTCTTACACATAACGAACTACATTCCAAACTCATCCACATGACCGTTTTTAATCTTTTTGCGGCGAATTTCGTATGACGTCATAGTCCGAATCCGAAAAATTCTTTTATACGAAAATGCGGGAAAATATGTTGAATTTGTATAAATTTTAGATCAAAAACTATATTTTATGCTTATTTAATGATAGAAATTTCACATATTTTTGCCGTTTTCTCTATGTTGGTTTCATACTTTATAGATTTAATTTTGATAACCTTATTAGTAATGTGGATTTTAATGGCTAGCATTTATCATTTTATCATAAAAAAAACTTCCTATTCAAAAGATATTTTAAACACGGTTGTATAAAACTACTTTTAAAAGCGCCTTTTACAGTTGCCATCTTTGTGCACGCCTCAGTTTATTGAATTGGCTCGTATATTATATACATGTGTATGTTTGTTTTTTTTCTTTTTCTATAGGTCCGAATTTCCCTCGAATATATAAATACTTGAGGAACTACCATGATACTTGCAAAAAAGAATTGCCAGATAAGAATAAGAAGATGTGGTATGATTGCCAATGCGACAACTCTCAACAAGAGACCAAATGACATAGAAGTTAACAATCATAGGTCGCCGTACGGCTTTCAACAATGAACAAAAACCATACCGCACAGTCAGCTATAAACCCCGAAAAATTCAAACGAAAAATCTAACGGCCTGATTTATATACAAAACAGACTCCTGACTTGGTCAACTTTGCCTGACTCTTGCAAGAATACATCTACCAAACAAGTGTACATAAATACTGAAAGAATCGCATGAACTCAAAACGGAGCATGACAGAGTTGCGTAGATTGGATAAGCTTGTCCTGTTATGCATACATCACCAGCCATGCGAATCCAAACTCAGAAAAAATATGACGACAAGAAATAAAAATAATTCAATTTTTCAGATCAGACGACATCGTTAGCTAGGGCAATATTGTAATCTTCTACAATAGACAGGTGTCTATAATATCATAGTATACAATATGTTACGCTCA